TGATAATTTGTTCGTCTTGACCTCACTTTTCCATTCATTGAACAATAATCGTACACACACAAACACACGAGCACACCCACACAAATGTCAATACGTGAATCGTGAATGTCTAGCTGTGATAGTAAGCTAACTACTGGAGCTGGTCTTTTCGCATGCAATTACAATCAATTATGATCATAATTATGCTGCTAGTACATGTGTATCTGATTTACTTATCATTTATATATATCAACTCTGATACTACCTCGGTATTTCTAATCTAGTATCTGATTTATTAAGTATTTATCTATTAACTCTGATGCTATTTTCGTGACTTTTAACTCATGTCATTTCTTTTCACTACCATCCTTGTTCCCACACCATCCTCTTCACCTACTGTCTCTTCTCCATCAACATCAAACTCAGCTGGAGTTCCTTCAGGTTCCATAGCAACTGTCGTAGGAAGCGCTGTTGGTGCTACTTTTGTGATTGTTATCGTTATAATTCTCATCATCATCTTTTACAAGCGGAGAAGGTTAGAGAGATACCTTTTTCTTAACCTGCCCCTCGCATCAGTCCATCCGCATCGTACTGCTCCATACAAGATGCTAAAACCGTATGGTCATGAAACAACAAGATGAATTATGATTGTATTTTTGAGTGGATCTGTATAGAAATTTAATTTCTTTAAAAAAAAAAAAAATTAAAATGTAAATATTATAAAGCATAACGCTTTCTTAATACCATGGCAACCAGTTTGAAGGACGTATGTAAATAATAAGTCTTTTAAAGGTACCATACCGATTCCCACATGCCAATTGTCATGTTTACATGTTTATGTATACCTATTTATTGGGACAGTTTATGAGTTTAATTGAGGTTCTTGTCTTTGAATTATTGTTAAATAACGAACTGTAAATATGATGGTTTTTTTTAAATATTTTTTAAATAAAATCTCTGTAAATCATGCATGCAATTCAGCCATTGGCTGCGATATGTTGATGAATAAATACCATACTATACATAATTATTGTTTTGATTATGTATTTCCTTAATGCGATTTATATCTTTGTTTTCATATTAACTTACAGCGATAAATCAGCCACTACTAAGTCTAAAGGAAAAGAGTCCGATTCGTCTCCGCATTATCAGAACCCTGTATTTGATCCGTCAAAGACAGACGTTCATACCTATCAAGACCTGCACACTGACAGCCACACCTACCAAGGTATTAATACCGATGCGCAGAGCTACCAGAATTATGCTGACCCTCATACCTACCAAGATCTCAAGAAACCTGATCAAGAAGTTATATACGAAGATGTAACTGACGCCATGAACGGAGACTATGTCAACGTGCTGAAGAAGAATTGATACACGAGATGAATAAACTCCATCAAAATGAAATGAAAAAAAGTTTTATAGTTTTAAGGAGAAATATATTACAAATATATGTGTATGTCTCTATAATTTCGTGAAGATGAAACCATGCTTTATCACTTATCGTGAAATATCAAATTTAATCTTAATAACTGAAAAAAAAACTGTGCTGATGGACTGTGGCGTCTCCTCTTAAGTATCCAAATGGAATACCATGACGAAAAGCTGTCAAAAAGTATCATGGCTTCGTTTTCATTCACCATCTCTACTCGCCTTACTCCCAAATCTGTTAATATCGGGGATTAGTTGAAATACAACGTTTTTAAATAATAATGATTCGCACAGGTCTGACGAATTTGGGTAAGAATAGTTGCACACCTTGGGTACCACACTACATGAAAGTAAATGTATGAGATTAGTTTCTTTAAAGCCTATCTGTACTAGTTTGGCCAGGAGGGATTAGACCTCCCTGTATGGTCACAGACCGATGATTATCTCATGAAATCAGCTCTCAATTAACATATGAAAAAGGGTACCGTGGTCACCACTTAGGCATTCTATTGATTACTTGTGTTAATGCCTGTCGTTGCTGGTGGAAAGCATTATTACAGCATCGATGAACAATAATGAATAAATTATCAAATATTATTATTAAAGTTGTTATTATCAACATTAATATTATTATCATTATTATAATTATCATAAACATTATTATTATTATTATCATTATCATTATTACTATGAATTTTATTATTACTACTTTCACTTCTACTACTTCTACGAAGCAGTGGAATTCAAGTTGATTAATAGTTCAATGATAATGTATTAGGATGTTAACGTTGAAATATGAAATATAAGATGTGAATATAAATATAGACTAGGCCTATGCACAATAACGTACACGTGAAATGTGGTGCTAAGCATTATTTCCACATTTGTTGATATTATAAATAAATTATCAGTTATTATTAATATCATTACTACTACTACTACTACTACTACTACTACGACTGCTACATGTACGTCTACTAAACAGTGGAATTCAAGTTAATTAATAGTTCAAAGATAATGTGTTATGTTGGGATGTGAACGATGAAATATGAAAATAAAAGTTGTAAATATAGACCAAGACTATGCACCATGAAAATAACGTGAAAGCATTATGTTATATGAGGGTGGATGTTTAGCGAATCATTATATAGTAGAATTAGAAGTTATTTAACAGAGTAAGATAATGCAATCCAAGTCAACATGCATATATTACCATATGAGTAGGAGATTTTTAGGCACATATTAAATATGAATACTGATAAATGAAAGTATACAACGCACAATATGTAAACATCAAAGAAGTAAAAACAATAAAGAATACAAAAGCAAATCAAGTTATTTTGTTTCAGCTCGTCATTTGGCACTTTGAACGGTTCTCAACAAAATTATTCCCTCTGATTATTAAAGCAGTTTGGAATTTGGCAGACTGTTAGCACAGCCAGTCAGATACAAGCCAGATTACTTTGCCATAACAATTATTACATTTAAAAATGCATTAATCAGGAGAAGATAATTACAACAAAAAAATCGCCTAAATTACCCCATTATGCAAAAAAAAAGATTTATCATGCTTTTGGGTGGATCCCAACCATCGTTCTCATTGTAACTATTTAATAATTACTCGATTAATTATTTATTAAGACTTATGAAGACATATTTAATACCATTTTATTTAAAACGGTGAAATAATTTTTGATATGAAATAACTAGACACGAAATCCAGCAAATCATAATTAAAGTTTTATGGATTATTTCCAAACATATGAAGATGAAATTCCAGGTGCATGGTGCAAAGAATTTCACGACGATGCCCCAGACGATATCTAAAGTGTCGTATCCGAACACCTACTCACTGGACATTAATTCAATTCAATTCAATTCATTTATTTATCCCTTGTCAACTGTTCGTTTTTACAATGATGGTACGTTTTAACATATTCACATATTGATATACATATACATGTAAATCAATTTGCACAATACAATACATCAAACAAATAAACATGCAGTTGAAAGGGAAGGAGGGCCGACAAAAAAAAGCAGAGCTTGTATGGTGTAGGCCCCCCTGTAAAAGTAATTATTATGAATTATTATTATGAATTATTATTACTACATCCACCCCCGGATAACCACCCCAGTCAACTAACCCCATATGGCAAACACCCTCTAGGACGACTATCCCCAGGACAACTACCCCAGACAACTAGTAAAGGTTACAGCTTGAAGTGTATGGCGCCCTCAACTTGCATGTTTGAAGACAGAATGGAGTGACTGAGAGAGGGAAGTAACATGCCTATTACACGCAGTGTTTACGGACAATGCCTCACTGACTATCTTACATATGGAGTGATACTATTGTACAAATATTTATGAAAGAAACACAATTAAAGTTTTCCGCGTACAACAGAAAACCCAATTTATGTATTTGTTTATCAATATTTGTCTTCAAACACATTTGGGAGGAGGGGGATCTTTGCAGAAGTATATTATAATCAATGAATGCTTTGTTCGAACAATGTAAGTGAAGTGAATCAAATACACTATTGATATAATCCTCGTCTCAAATGTACACACACATACACACACACACAATCATCAACGCACACACCCACCCACACACATACACAACCACCCACCTACACACCAACCCACACACGCTCCCGCACCCATGGCCCACATAATATACCGGCCCACATATGCCCACACATCATGTGGGCCTATTACATATAAAAAATAATCACCGCTAAGACGACAGTTTTAAAAAGGCATGAAAAAAGGAGAAGCCGGCAAATAAGTAACCAATGGAATCATTTCGTGCGTTCCTTTTACAAGCTAAATTATTATAAGGAGAACAAATATCTTCAGTATAAACATCCAGTTTCTGTAAGGTTCCGCCTTGATATCCGGAATCGTAGTGGTATTTTCCCCTTTGGATGAGGCAAATCTTCTAGCTGCAAAGCGGGGATCAGACAAAATCTATCGGAGCACGCCTATTGGCTGTTCCATACATAGCTGGCTCGATATATGACGTAGTTTGAATCGCATTTGAGTGATTACCAGGTCGCTATAAGTATATGCTTTACAAGATTTCCGCAACCCCGATAGACGAATTTAAATTGTGAGACAAGGAGGAAACTTTGTACTCTCGAGTCTTGATAAGGGCTATTGTCGATGATTGAAGTAGTATGCAGAAAGTTTCGTTCTGTCTAGGGCGACCAGGTAAGTTATAGACCTGGCTTAAATTTGCTATTTTGTCTGCACCATAAGAGAGAAATACGAACAAAACTCACCAGTGGTGCCAAATTTAGCTCAGCCGAAACTTCCTTCTTGTTGGATAATTTCTTATTGGAAAAACCCCATTTTTATGAGTGACAATAAATTATATCCATGATAAATTCAATTTAAGACTAAATTTTGTGAACAAGGAAACACTACTCCTGAATATGGCCTTGACAATTTCATCTTGCCTCGTTGATGCTTCCTAGATTGACAATTTCAAGCAGTGTCTTCAGTGTTTTCGCTAATGTATGATGGCGTCCTTATTGTGTTGGAGCAATTCTTTTTCTAGACTCATGCTTGTATTGTTCTACATGGTTGTTACGAGTAACGGTAAGTACATATTCACCATTTATTATCTTAACGAATAGATTTACCATGTAAATAACCTCCATTTAATAAAAAAGTATACTTGAATGAGAGAAACTAGATATTCTGTAAAAAAATAGAGGAAAATACATTAAAAATTCCTCTTTTAAAAGAAGGGCCTCCTGCGCGAAGCTTAGACGTTTCATTAAATTATTAGATGCATAATATTGACCCTTAATTCTAGTCTGAATGAAGTTTACCGTTTCCCGCGCGAAGGCAGACGATTCGTTGTACTGTTCTCGACTCTTAATCCGCGCCCCCTCCCTCGCGAAATGCGAAAGCTTAGACGTTTCATTCAATTATAATAGAAAGAAGACGATTTGTTGTACCGTTTTCTCGACTCTTAACCCTAATTATCTGAATTTTTCCCCCTTCCCGCGTGAAGCGCGGAAGCTTTGACGTTTCATTAGATTATTATAGAAAGAAGGCAAAGTTTGGTGCCGTTCTCGACTCTCAATCCTTGTATGAATTCAGTTTCCCCCTCCCGCGCAAAGCGCGGAACTTTTGGCGTTTCAATAAATATTAGGGAAAAAAGACGATTCGTTGTACCGTTCTTGACTCGTAATCCTTGATTGAATTTAGTTTCCCCGAAAATTTTAAAACTCTGATTTCTTAAGCCGATGTTACAGGAAAGTGAAACTTCGAGAAAAACTAGTATTCTAGTTGTAGTCTCTCTCGAAGTCGTCACAGCGGATAAAGCGTCACAGTTCGTAGGGAAAAAAACTTGTCGGCCGACTGACATTATACATCCCACCGACTTCAAACTTTTGCATTGATATATTACACGAGGATCGAGCAAGAATACCGAAACAGCCAACCCGACACAGCAAAATATTTATGCGTGTCTTCCGTGCTCCCTCGACGAGACGACTCCACCGAACAACCCTTCCTCTCTCAGGCTCTTACCTCCTCCTCTCTCTCCTCTCTTTCATCCCCCGATTCTTTTGTTTCGTTTTTTTCTTTTTTTCCTTTGCTTTCTTTTCTTTCTTTTCCTTTCTTTCCTCCCCTCCCTATTTTTCTTTTTCTCTTTCTTTTTTCTCTTCTCTTTCCTTTCTTTCCTTCCTTTCCTTTCTTTTCCTTTTTTCCTTTCCTTTTCTGTTTTTCTTTTCTTTTCTTTCCCTTTCCCTCTCTATTTCTCCCTCCCCCTTTTCTCTTTTTTCCAGACGGGAAACATATTTTGAAAAGGTTCCACCGGTTGCCAAAAAGGCGTAGAATTGCAATTAATACACTTTTTGTTGTTTAAAAAGCATGGAATGGTCAAGCCCCAAATTATTTGTCTACATTATTATCTTTTAAATCACATCCATGTGCACATAACTAACGAAATACAAGACAAGCTGCCTTCTAAGGCTACCTCACACAACGACAATCTCTTGGAGATTGCGCCTTCAGTTCCACCGCTCCACAGCTTTGGAATAACCCAACACTAGACATACACACAGACTTATCTGTTGCTATCTCAGAGTTTTTGCTGAAGACGCACTTGTTTTCTGAAAGCTTTTGAATTGGTTTTTGTATTGTTTGTAAAGTATTAGCGTTAGGAATTTTGTTTTCATCACTGTGTAGTAGAGTACATTCATATAGTAGCTGTGCTTTTTATATTGTTATTATAATTTGGGCGAGCCATAATGAATGTCCGACCTAGTAACAGCTAAACAGGTGAATTAAATTGCTCGTTGCCGGGAAAACGAGTCTACATTTGAATAACTATCGGAATACATATCGAAAATGGTTTATTGACCATGTTGACAAAACAAAAACATACATCTGAGAGTTACAACTAAACAAAAAAGCTCTGGGGAAAACTTGTAAATGTAGAGAAATTATTGCCAATCTAGAGATAAAAGGAATATCAAATATCGATGAAATATAAATAAGTCACGTCTGAGCCATTCTATTGTTGTAGTTTTAGTTAGGGGGGGGGTGTCTTGAATATTAAGGTAGTAAACTGTTAGACATCCATTGTAGATTAAAGCATCTTTCAGTGAGCATTTTAATGAAATATTTAGATTAGCTTCTATGTAACTTCCCATTTAGCTTAGGCCCTATGGCGAATGCTGTTAAAGATAACTCCCCTCATTCAGGACCGGAAGTACTGTTGGTTTTCATTCTATGTTATGATTCAAGTTGTACAATGTATAATTTTTTTTAAAATCAGTCTCATGAAGTTTTTGTTTCATCATTCTTATCATACTTGCATGACTTACATAAAGTGAGATTCAAATTTATACTCTTCCTCCTCAATGAATATTGAAATATTGCTTTCAGTTTTCTTTTTATTACTTGTAGAACGGATCCGAATTCATACTCCATATCTAGGCTCAGTTTGTTAATTGCTTATTTTGATTTCAATGAGATTTACATTTCTCGTCATTCATGCTTGTACAGCGCATAGAGAAACCACAGTTTATTATGCGCTTTATAAATATGTTATTATTATTATTATTACATGACATATCGTCTGTTGAGAGTTGGAAGGGTGTTTTGTTGCTATGTTATGAATGTGAGTTTACGCCCTCCTGTCTCTCAACAGCAGACGATACACGGCACCCTCTCCCACAGCTCGGTTCTCAATCTGTGTAATGTTTTCTTTTTTTAATCCATTATTAATATCAATTTCATTATAAACTGCTCAATTTTGAAACACACATGCCCTTATAAATTCTGATGTTATATACAATAATTTTTAAATATTGTACTCATGAGCTTACTTTAATTAATTCATAATGTATAATAATTCGATTGTAGCACATTATTATATACATATATTTATGTTTCAGAATTGATAGTTTTTTTCTGACTGTGTACAATATTTGTACAACTGTTATCTATCTCTATTTGTATTTGCATTTTTATTTGAAATCCAATTTCAAGTTTTGGTTGCAATAAAAAAAATAATATTAATAACAAATTCTGGTCTAATTAGTCTACTGAGATGTGCATGCTATTAAATCTATTATTGACTATTGTTTTGTTTTTTCTAGGATACATCGTAGACCTGACATTAGTGACCAATCACCCCCTCCTGGATCCTCCCAACACACGTGATCAATATATCGGCGCTTACCTAGGACAGAAAGATGCGAGCATCAGAGACAATATTATGTTTGACCGCATTATTCGGACCATTGATACTACACGTCTCCCAAACTACATCGTCACAGTAAATGAAGGTCAATGTATAAGAAAGCTCATCTTCGAACAGTCTTATCAAACCAAGGCATTAGGAGCATTCTTCGTAGCTTTCGAATATGAAGGAACCACACGTACTTCTTCAACTGTTGTCTTGATGCACAATCGTGAGTATAAATATTTGTAATCGAGGGTCTTTAAAACCAACTCCAAACCGACCAGTTTTGGGGCTATTGGAGGTAATGTAACTTGTTTACTGGGTCTGTTGTCAGTCTTTTATCGGTCTCGTTTGGGTTCTAGGACAATTACCCCCGGTCAATTACCAACAGGACAATTAACCCCCTTATGACAATTACACCCCGGTAAATTACCCCCCCCCCCCCCAGGACAACCATCTCTAAGGTAAACCACAACCAAGGACAATCAAGGACAACAACCCCGAGGACAATTACCCCCTGGACAATCACCCCCGGCAAATTACCAACGGGGCCATTACCCCCAGCGACAATTACACCTCGGAAAATTACCCCCCCCCCCCCAATGACAACCACCCCTAAGGTAAACCACAACCAAGGACAACCACCCCGAGGACAATTACCCTCTGTTCATTAAGGGGGAATTCCACCCCGATAACAAGTTGGTTTTATTAAAAGCGCAAACAAACAGAGAACTGGTTAGCAAAACTTTGAGCAAAATCCGATTAGAAATAGGAAAGTTAAGAATATTTGAGATTGTCATCCGTGAAACATATTTGCAAAAATTAGGTCATATTTCTCTTAAATGAATTGAGTGATGAAGGAAGTTTGATATAATCACTAGCGAGAAGTGATTTTATAAGAGGTAAATAAAAGTCAGCACAATGTCTAGTTGTCTAAATTTTTCAGGGGGCAATTGTTCTCGGGGGTTGTTGTCCTCGGAGGGGGGGGGGCGGGGGTTAGTTTTTAAGGGGGTTATTCTTTCGGGGGTGATTGTCGAGAGGGTAATTGTTCTGATACGGTCTTGTTGGTGTGACTGATGTACACTCTAAAAAATGTTGGGTAAAAAATTGCCCAATTTTCACCCAACATGAGGGCGATTATGTGTCCAACCAACTGTTGGGTAAATTAAAGATTTTGCATGATTTACCCAGTGTTGGATAAAATGAAAATACCCAACTTTTAACCAACAAAAATTTACCCAATCAAAAATTCACCCAATTCTTACCATAATGTGTAGCATAAGTTAGACACTAGTTGGACAAATAAGTTGGATAAAATATCATATGCAAAGAGAGATTAGTGCCGCGGCTGGACTCGAACCGCGGACCTCATAATCCATAGTCATGTGACATATCCACTCGACCACGACACCTCTTATAAAAAATAACCCTATTGTCGCATTATAATGTTGCCCCACTCACGTTTGCCAAGTGACATCTGCCCAACTTATTTTGAACATTTAATTGGGTAAATGCATGTAGTAAATGGTTGGGAGAAAATAACCCAATTTTTTGACAAAAATGGCCCAACTCTAATTTGCCCAATAATATTAACCACTCATTTTATCGGTTACTACATGATTGATAGAAAATAACCCAATTATTGGACAGCATTTGCCTAACATCGATTTGCCAAGTAACATCTACCCATCCTATTTTTTACCTTTCATTAAGTAACTTCATATAGTAAACAGTTGGGAGAAAATAACCCAATTATCGGACAAAATTTGCCCAACTTCGATTTACCCAGTAACATCTGCCCAACTTTTTTTTACAGTGTCTGATGCTTGTACGTTGTTTCCGTTTCTTGGAGCATATAACAGCATGCACAGCCATATGGGGGCCACCAATTCTTGTTGAATCTTTGAAAATGGTTAAACTCATGCACCTTAATAATTTATTTTCGGAAGAATATACAACTAGCTCCATTCTAGAAGGAAAACATATTCCCCAAAACTGAGATAAATTTTAAGAAGATCTTTTGAAAACGAAATGAGGGTAATAGCAATTTTATGTATTTACACTGTCCTATACCTTGAAATTTGTAAGGAAACATATCTACTTAATATTGTAGAAGGACACTGAAGAAAAAAAATAACGGATCGTAAAACATTTTCACATTTGTGGAAGTGATAGAGCACTGATAAAACGTCGGAAATTCGGATGCGAGATGCATTTTCTGAGCAAGTTATATTACTCATTCCCTGACCTAATGTAATATAACAATATGGTATTCCTTGTCTTCAGGAATAGCCTCATCATTTGTAATATCGTTCTTCCCGAGGGCCTGCAATCATATTTCCTCCGCTTCAGTCGGGCGACCCTGATACGGCCCCCGAGCATTGAAGGATTTATTCCCACCGGGTACCCATTTATTTCATTGTGGGGAGAGAAGCTAATCTATAGGTTAATGTCTTGACAAACGAAAGTATTGCCGTGACAGGGATTCGAATCTGTACGATGTACTTCAGTTACTTTACTACTAAACCCCGACACCTTCAATATAATGATAGACTCAAATAATTGTCAAAATATATCTTGTATAAGCCTGTTCATACATTCGAAAGAATACCCCTTTTTGACTTTTACATTTGATGATTTATATACGCCTACTTCCAGTCCTAAAAATCAAGCGTACATGTGCTTATGATTGGAAAAAAAGAACACCATCCATATACTTACAAACTGGTAGGCCTATACAGATCACACAGCGTATATATACAATAAATCATTTTTGTTGAAAGAAATTTTCCCCAAAGCTGCTTCCCTGCATGAATTTTTTTATTTTGTAGCATATTAATTTATTACTCCCATTTACTTTACAGCGACAATCTTGCCTGAACAGACAACTTTGACTGTCCATGTCGGGGAAACTGTTACAATCGCTGTTGTCACCAACATAACGGAAGATGATTTGCGATGGCGGTTTAATGGTGAAAAGATATCTGACAGTAATGGAAAGCAGAGTCTTACCTTGGTGAACGTGCGGCTAAACCAAGCTGGGGTATATCAGTGTTTTGTAAATGGAAAACGATGGGATGCAGGAAATGCAATATTCCTTCTTCATGTCGTCAGTAAGTTGACAGCTCACTATCCGTACATGTATCTTACCCTAGATATTATCTTATTCTGAAGCACTTTTAATTTCCAACATCGTTGAACTCGCGACAAAAGTACTTATAATTCTACATTATTGTTTCAGCGAAATATTAGTGAAATTAATGCGAAAGGCCCTCCAAAATGAATCTAAGTTCTGTGGAATTCAGCGTATTTTCACGGCTGTTCCCATACTAACATGACATTTTTGTTTGTTATAGATTCTTTTTCCTTTTTTTTGTAATCGTGCGAGGAGTGACCACTTTTTCAAAATGGTAGATTAACATTTTAAAAATGCTGGATCCAACATTATGAATCTTACATTTTGAAAGAGTAGTCACTCCTCGGCCCTTTAAAATGGTGATTTAACATTTCAGTTTTAAGAGATGCATGTCGATGCATATTGGCATAACGGTTATCTTACTTCTGATATTGTTTGATGCTGGATTCGTATCCACTTTGAAATACTAAAACTGTTTACTTCAAACAGGATGCCCAGCTTATCGTTGGGGATCTGAATGTGAACATACCTGTACTGAGTGTCTCAATGGAGGCATGTGCGATGCAGACTTAGGAGAGTGTGTATGTCCTCCTGGTTTCAACGGGACAATATGTGAACACGGTAGGTTTTTACACTTTACTGGGTCCTCTGCGCTTCGAGACACTGGCAGAGACATACTTGTTGAACAAGGCGGGGTGGGGGTATACAAAGAGTCGCATACTTCCCTTTTTTAAAGCAATTTTGTTTTATTTCTCCAAATGTGTAATACAAACCATAACATGCAATTGAATCCAATAAACGTGTTAAATATTGATTGCTTTTACATAAACATAATTAAAATTATTTGCATTATATATATAACTTAGCAACAAAGTAAACGTATAAGTACCTATACATAATCAATTGTAAATGTTATTAACTTATATGAAAAAAAATAACTTAAACAAATCTGGAGGTAATTTTACTGGAACAATGCCTGCTCCTCCCTGCTCCTTCCCTGGCCCCCTCCCTGGCCCCCTCCCTGCCCCCTCCCTCACACGACCCCCCCCCCACCCACCCGACCACACAAATACTCACCCACCCACCCACCCCACACATACACACAAACTACTCACTCAGTGGATGTCTGTTAACATTCTCAACTCCCTGCCCCCTCCCTCACACAACCCCCCCACCCACCCACCCACACAAATACTCACCCACCCCTCCATCCCCACACATACACACACACTACTCACTCAGTGGATGTCTGCTAACATTCGCAACTCAAGAAAAATATACTAAATAAGTAAGTTATCCAGGCCGCACATGCACACACGCACACACTCGCACAAACACGCACGCAGACATTTCAGTTTTGTGGATGACTCTTATTTCAACGTGGATGAATTTGTTCCCCCTTCCCCCCTAACTGACTAGCCATATGCTTCAACAACAAGCTTCCGAATAGAATTATTAACTTTTAGTTAATACACCCCTTTTTTTAATTTGTTACATGTTCTGGAATAAGCTCAATATTTTTTTGATGTGAATAAATACAATGATTTCATGTAAATTACATGCTTGAAATAAAGTTCAATCTGCAATACTCTATAATGTACGTAATGCGTATAGTGATAAAATTAACAAAGCTTTCATTAATAAAATTCAATCGATGAAACCCTGGTATAAGGAAATAGCATTGTTGTCGTTGGCATTTCTTACATTTTGATCGTTCAATACCTAAAAATCTTTACAATAAAACTATCACTCGAATCAGAATCAAATCAACTCAATGTCGATACCGTATTACTAATATGTTGTGTAAGCCCGTTTGAAACTCTATTATAAAGGCACTTGTTTCCTGATCCCTTTATTGTCATTTATCCTAAGTCCTGGGCAGTAACTGGTTCGGGCAGGATGGCAGCTTTTCTTGCGATTCCTCAGGAGATGATCACAGTACTGGATGTCGGGGTAAACTCTTTTGCCTACCAGACCCCTTTGGATGCACCTGTGCAGCAGGATTCATGGGAATCAATTGTACAACAGGTATTTTGAGTCATGTACATCAAATTCTGAAATCATATTTTTACTACAAGAGACCTCCAAAATACATCATCTTGAAAGAAAAATGTATAAAACATACTCGTTTAAAAATGGATTACTCATCAATTTACATGTATATGTATTTTCAACAGTTCTTCACATGTCTATTCGAGCAAATAATTTATTTTTCATGGACGGGGTTTTTACTCTCCAACACTTGACATATTTCATATTCTCTTGCGGAAGTGAAGGTAACGAGAAAAGAGATGAAATAAAAAAATATCAACCTTGACACAGCCTTAATTATAAGCCCCCACAAAAACTGAATACGTAAGACATGAGTGACGAAGAAGGCATATTTATATTTGTAGTAATGAATGGGCTAAACAATTTGATTCTCAAGACTGAAAGGAAGGTTGCTCCACGTGTGACCTTGCAACTCATGTGATGAGAACAGGTATTCGTTTACATAGAAGTGCATTTCAAAGGTCAATTAGTCTTCTTGTCAAGTACGTACTAAGGCGTTAAGAGGGACCTTGATTATGACATTTCCTCGCGATTTAATTTGGTCTGCCTTATATTTTTTGAAACCTGAACTTAAAATAAGCCGAAGTATATCTTGAATATAGTATTCGAAAATAATGTTATGTGTGCGTATCAAGAAACATGATAACATAATAATACAATGAAGTAGAAACCTCTTTGAGGATGAAAGAGATTCCAAAGTGGAATATACTCTGCCACTCAAAATATCACTTTTGTTATCTTTTAACAAGTGGTGCTTAGGTTGAAGGTGAAGGTGCTTAATTTTTGTTCATTATTTTGTCATCACGTAGATGAACACAAATAATCATATTCTTTTCCGAGTGACATTAATGCTTTAATCCGTGTTCAAAAAGACGCACACAAATAAACAAGCAAAACATTATTGCGTTTTTTAATAGTCATTTTTGTTGTAAATGTATTCTATATTTGAGGTAGAGCTGAAAACCCATGGACTCCTTTTCGTATCAATCTATTTAGGTAACCTTTAATGTGCAAGCACGTAGCCCTTACAAATTGTGCTCGATCAGAAGAAAAGGAATACCGAATTCGTAATATCCCACATTATAGGATGATGTTTTCCCATCCCAATTACTAAAACAACATGCATGTACAACATTTCTTCGCTTTAAAAGCCATGTACTATAAACTATTATAATTCCATTTAAATCCTTTGAAGCAGTTCCCCTTGGATCAAATTGATATATAAAGTATGATCTGCAAATACATATAAGAAACCTCCTCATTGAAAATGTCTGGGTAATTCATTCAAATATATCGGAATTTAACAGATAATATAAAAAATAAATATAATCGAGCTTAATATATCTATCATTAGATAGATCTTATTAAAAAGTATCAAAGACGTTTAAATGCACTTGTGAGCGGGAGTGCATTGAAGAAGAAAAAAAACGAATTAGCGGAACCAAGTCTACCAAGCTTTCAAAACGCACTCTAGATATCTCATTGACCCATTTATTCAGGATTTGTTTGAATTCATTCTAGAAATTTGATATCATGCCAACAATTATATCAATGTACCTTGGGTCTTGGGCCTTCCTGTCAATGTGAAATATTGAAGATTAAAAAGCGCATAAAGCCTACCTCATAATGCTGTTCCTTTTCTTCTATTACTTTATCGATCCCCATGATTTTTTAAAAGAATGTAACCCAGGAACGTATGGAGCAGATTGTTTGCAAGAGTGCCACTGCTCTTCACCTAACATCTGTACCAAGGATACAGGAGAATGCATTGATGGGACTGCGTGTCAAGAAGGCTGGACTGGTGTCAACTGCCAAGGTAATATTTGTTTTAAACAGTCAGTTTTCATATTTTCTATTTTTACTATACATTATTATCACAAATTATACACATCACGATTAAAGAGCCGAAATCCATTTCGTCCTTCATTATTTCTTGGGCTTGTCAAAGCAAAAGGCAAAAACACAACAAGTACCAGGAGAAAAAAAGTTTCATGATTAAACAGATTACTATTTTAAGCTAATTCATGGCTAGATTTGCAGTTAATTATCAATTGACACGCATTCCCTGCTTTTGTCCATTATGCTGAGTTGACCAATGGAATTCGTTCTCCAAACCATACAGACTTTAACCTCGATCTAAGTTAATTTTGTCATTCATATCAAACATGAACATAGGTAGGTCAAAGGTCACATATCATTATTAGCAGTTTCTCTTAAATTCAACTACATACATTCAGTACATCATTTAGGTTTTTTATAAAGAACCATCTTATTGCCTTGCGAATTATTATGAATGTTAATGCCCATGTAATCGAAGTGTTCTTGGTGTTATAAATTGTTTTTGCACAACAGTAATTTAAAAACAAAATATCGCCTCGTTCGGAATGGTGCTAATGGGTTGAATTATTTTGCTTATACGATCAAGTAGTCTGCTCTCATGTCTTGATATTAAATCGTAACTACACTTGTAGGTGAACCTTTGAGAGCCGGATATTTAGTATTTAGATTAAGAATTCCGCACATCAAATGTTAGACAAACTGGAAGTACTTCTATAATATTTTGAAGTACTTGCTCTCCAGTTAAAAGCTATATTTTAAAAGCACCATATTTTGAAAAGTTATTGTTTTTCTTATAGTGGTAAATTTGAACCCTGGTTATTATTGTTTTCTTTATCTTTTTACATTTCGAACTTCCCCCATTCAGTACGTTGACGATGATACATGTAAGCATACATGGGCTCATAGTTCAACATAAGAATAAAGGCGTGTTAAGATATAAAGCACAAAACCTCAGCGGTTACAACGTGTAAATGATTTCATTTGCGTGCAACAAATAATAATAATAATAATATTGATAATGATAATAATAAATAAACGAATATATAAATTACTACTACTACTTCTACGTTATAGTAGTACCACTACTACTACAACTGAGAGTAATAATAATAGTAACAATATCTGGCATTTGTATTGCGCCATCTATCTATAGAACTTCTATTCTGAGGCGCACAAGGAGAAATAGATAAGAATAAGTGTCTGAATAACAGAGGCCCTGCATCTATACTGAGCTCTCTGTTTAAGATACAGAAATGTGAAGTGTATTACATTTTACGGTATCACCACCAACAAAAAACAGCTGCAGTTTACCACTAAATATATCTGAATGAATTACGTAAAAAATATATGAGGCATTACCATCTCCGTTGTGTTAGAAAGAAATTGATATGGTTTTAAGGGGATTTAAACGGAAACTAAAAAAATAACTGCCCTGCAAAATTCCTACTTGCCATTAGAATACCTAGATTTCTATGATTATGTTATATAAACAAGCATAAGCCTGTGTGGGTTAGTGTTATGTGCGTGCGTGTGTGAGGCGTACAATCTGATATTTTAACAATGTTTTCTCTTCTCCTCATATGCATATTCAGCGGTCACTCGTACAAAATCGGCAAGTTCTTGTTTCAGTTCTTCAACCATCCCCATTGTTGAAGCTACGACTCAGGCTTCTACCAGTGCTACCACTCCTGTCACCCCTACCATCCCTTCTCAGCCTATTCCTTCTTACGCCATAGAGAGCTTCAACTACACGAAGGTTAACAATGGCGAACTTACAACATTGGTTTGTGTCGTGACAGGATCACCTCCAACGCCCTCTGAAAACATCAGTGTCACCGATGTAGCCGGTGCAATTGAAGGGATTGTCTTTCTGGAGACCAATGTCACTGAATCAACCAGGACATCCCGGTACCAGGTTAGGGTGAGTCTGGATGAGGTACCTCAGAATTTCAGCTGTCTTTTGCGCAGACCGGACGGGGAAAGTGCCTCGAGAGATCTAACTGTCTCTGTTTATGGTAAGTAATTCTGAACCACTTATAACACTTTCTTTCTGCACATTCAATGTTAATGCGATTGGATTCTTAGTAGCTGTATATACTCTTTTGTATTGTATTTAAGTAAAGGTGCCTTGTACATTTATATGTATGTCAAAAACAATGAATACAGATAATTAACACGATTCGACACTTTGTTTACATTGCCTTTGTTGTCTATCAAAGTTCATTGAAGGGCTTCCATATTATATGTTATTATGATAGATCTATTATGTGGAAGTGTGATTTCGTTTTGAATGTTTTTATTAAAACCATGTGCGATGGCCGTGGGTTTGATCGCAGGCACAGCACCGACTTAAAGCTAAACATGACTCTTACCACTCCGTACCCGGCATTGAAGAAAGAAATAAGGACCTAGTGGAATGACAAATACATTTTCGCCACTATTGCAAAATTCTCTTACCTTGCTCACGCTGACCATGGTCTCGAATGTTTTCCAGGGAGCAGAGATGGTGCACATATTGTGTCACTCAATGTATCAGATTACGGTTAAATGTCTGTGAAACGTTAAGTGACGTTATTTCACATCAATACTCAGTGACATCTCACATCGCAATATGTATAGGGAATACGATAAGTCCATGGGCCTAGTATGGATGAACTTGACAATTTGTACCTTTCTGAAATACTCCCAGAGTTGAAAAAAAATCATGTTTTGATATACTATTTACATACAAAATGTCAGAAACTTTATTCATTCGTATTCGCTCCGATCATTTGCCTGTATCAAAAACATAGCACAACTTGAACAAGACTTGCAAACAATTATCTGTTTCATTTTTCTTTTGTCATTATTGTTTTTTGTTTATTGTTTAAAGATCATTTCCATAATGTTGGTGCGAGGTGTGTGTAAAAGGGAGTTAAGATATAAAACCTATGTCAGTAATACAATTTCCCAGTAAAAACCATTACTTTTTTTAATGTAAATTTTTGTTGATGGTTTCATAGAACTTTGTTTACAATTACATTTTCGTTCAGAACCTCCAAGCTTTGTTGAAGCTAACATACTACTCCAAAACATGACCTCTCACTCGATCACCATAAGCTGGACACCTTGGAATGAGAATAATGATCATGGTGATGGGCCAGTGATTGGATATCAAGTCTACTTCAACACACACGGACAGGATGACATAGCAAGGGCTTCAAGATATCTCATCAGAGATACAATTTTTACCATCACTAATTTGACACGGGACACAGAGTATGAATTCAGAATGACTGCTTCTAGAGAAGGGCCAGTGGGTGAAGGGACGTACAGCCCAGGAGCAAGAGCTAGGACAAAGTGTACTGGTAAGAGCAGTAGACTATTATCATAACACCTAATAATAGGTGGATCATCAACATCATTTTGACGGCCGCAGTCAGGACGGAGTTTACTCTTTGACGTCACTCGTTCTTTTCAATCTAGACCTTATTAACGCTTTCTAACTTAAGATTGAGATTAAGGGAATTTATAATCATTTAAAATTGTTGGTGGCTAAAGTAAGTTAAATGAATTTAATTTATCTGTTGTCATTTTTTTTACCGTTGTTGAAAGCAAAATCACTTAACCAAGCGTGTACCTTACAGGTTCCGCCCATTTTTATTCCTCGAGCTGAAGATTTATTAATAATAGCAAATATAGCCGCGATATTATTACAATTAATGATAAATCCGATAAAAGTAAGAGTATAGTTAGTTAAAAATTAAGATTGATTTTCTTCTCCTGACCATTAGGACATAAACAGAGATCCTTTGACGTTCCAAAGACCTATATTACATTGCATTTTTTTTTAAAGTTTTCGATTGTTAATTTCCCGCTCTCAAATGTAAGGCTGGTAAATATGGACTCACCGTAGTAAATTCACATTGAAAGCAAAATAATTTGTAGACAGTACACTATTCACCTAATGTGAATATTATGTTGTGAGTTGTTTTAACCAGCAACTTAATTACAACCAAGACAACTTAATTGTCTTTATTTTTGGTAATCCTTTTTTCAGCACCTTCTGAGGCGCCTGTTCTGTCTGTGAGAAATAGAAGTCAAACAACCATCACTTTGGATTGGGTGGTGAGCTGAAATGATTTCATTGCATTTAATTTTCTTATCATTAACTATTAAGAAACACAATTCAGTTCAATTTACTTCATATCAATAATAACAATTCGCTTAGTTAGGAGATGAACACCAAAGCGTTTGAATTTTCAGTATGAGAGCTTATAAATAGACCCAAATACACAATGGTACACATTCAGGCGCGTACGCAGGCGCGTACGCAGGGGGGGTGGGGGTGGGGGGTTTGGGGTTAACCCCCCTTTGAGGTTTTTTTATGCGTATGTTTTGTGTATGTTTTTTTTTTTAAACCCCCCCTTTTGAGTTGTTTTTTTTTATTAAAAAAAAAAATCAAAAAAAAAAATCCTGTCAATGCCAATGGCTGACCTAAAAAAGGTAACCTTACCCCCCCCCCCAACGGAACCAAATGTCAAATTTTCAAATTTCGAGAGCAAAAAAAAAAGTGTCCTCTTACAACCCCCCCCCCCCTCCCCCGCGCTTACTCAGCGGCTGGCTGATTCGTTGTGATTTTTGTTGGACTCCAAAAAAAAAAAAAAAAGTGTCCGCTTCCCCCCCCCCCCCCCCCGACTTTTCGGCCGGCGCGATTTTCAAATTTTCGGGAGCAAAATAATAAAGCTGAGTCGTTGCGAAATTTTGGGCCCGATTTTAACCCCCCCCCCCCCCCCCCCTTGAAAAAATCCTGCGTACGTCACTGTACACATTAATAAAAGTCCACTCGAAGTATCATTTCGTACGTTAATTAGTTTGGATAAAGCGTTTCGTATGTTTACTCCGTATAATTATATATATATTGAAAAAAGTTAGGTTTGACGGTGAATATGGCAAACTTAACATTTTCAAATTAGTAAAATTGGTGAATTCTTCCCGTTTGTCATATTTATATCGATAACAGATAATACCAGAGCAATCATGGGGATGCAGTGCCCTTTCTAGATTAGAAATCAATGTAAGCACCGATGGACAAAATGGCTTGCCTCGAACCTTGTCATTCAATACTACGGCGGGTACTGCTAACATTGGACAGCTTGAGGATTGTTCTACGTATAACATCAACGCAGCATTTAGAAACAAAGACGAGTTGGGGATCTCTTCAGAAATATTGTCAGTGAGCACATATTTGATACGTAAGAATATCTGTTTTCTAATTGTATGTTTAGTGCGTTGAGTTGTACAGTATTAACGCTTGGGTTGTGTTCCATTCACAATACCTTATATCTTATATCTTGACATATGAAAGAAAATTTGCCATAAAGACTGTATCACAACGCTAAAAGTGAAATGTATAGTCATTGAATCAAAGAACACAGGTCTGTCATGCGAGGGAATTTCAGGAGTATAGCCAAAAATGGACTAGATGGCATCCTTACTGGTACGTTTACCAGTCTTCAATTTGTTCTTAAATATTCTTTCAGTTTGCAAATTACAAGTTTAGTTATATTTCACATTTATTTCCAGGACCCGCAGGTGTAGAAGCCTTACATATGTTACCTTCAACCAGGGTACGTGCTTCAACCACACAAATTGAAGTGAGCTGGGCACTGTCATCAAGTCTATGCTCCCCTGACTACTATATCATACGCTACAGTCTATATCAGAAGCTTGCCTGCTCTTCACCAGAAACCAACCAAACAGAGTTTGAAATTAACACCACCTCTATACAACATACTAATCTAGTGGGGTTGGAGCCTTACTCGCGATACCAGATCACAGTTACAGCTGTAAATGGTGCCGGGCAGAGTGAACCCACGATCGGCTATTCAGATACCAGCCCAGGACGTGAGTAATGAACTAATAATCACAATTCCCTTTCCCCATATCAGTTTCAAGAAATGTACAAGGTGATATATTTTGTTATCCGTGTTGTAATTATTAATATTGTTTATAATATACAGAAACAAAGTTGTTATTGGTCCAAAGATCATCACATAATATCGATTGCGAGGAGCGTAGTAAAGATATTTCACTCCTGGTCATTTAAAATATAACTCCTTGGGAAAATATAACTTTCTTCGGTAGTCCAAAAATGTTATATCATACACCCTACCAGTCAAGTCTGTATTAGATTCCTGTCTATAACATAAGCATCGATTTAAAAATATAATTTTCAAGAATTTTTCTTTATCTAAATTATGAATTTTACAGATTGGTTGCGATGTATATTCTCTTCACCCTTTTCGCTAGCTTTACTACGTAATCGTCAAGTTTGAACGGATTTAGGTACGTTCTATTATATTTCTGCTTCACTTTAGCACCATCCAACATTACAAACGTCAGGGTTAACCCAGAAAGGACGTCTCCATCAAGAATAGGATTCACCTGGCAACCTCTTACCTGTAGTAATGTGAATGGAGTGTTCTGGTACTACTTTACAACAATCTACGAGCGTGGTGATCAAAGTAAAACTACGGTTAGGAGGTCATACTTGGATAATGACTTTTCATACTCATCGGTAGAGTTCAATGATCTTGTGGCGTGCACCATGTATGAACTGAGTATCAATGCCGTCAACCGTGACGTATCAACTACTGGAAAAGTGTCTAATGACATCGGTGTAACAGGAGTTAATTGTAAGTGTAAAAAAAAAGTACCAAGAAATTCCATATTTAGAATCACCTTCGGGAAGTCACATTGTCCTATTTTGTGAACGTATTCCAACTATTACGTTCCAAAACTGCATAGTAAAATAATATTTGTGCCAGATATCCACATTCCTATAGTAAAACACAGGTTTAAGTATCATTATGTCTAGTACATGTACGACATTACATTTCGAATTCAAGAATCATGTCTTTGAGACATTTAAGTGTTTTCTGGTAGAGATTACTGGATTGTCCGCGTTACAAAATGTCGTTTTACAATGTTTACAGATTTTCTATATTTTTAGCATTTTACCTATTTTCTAGGAATTTTCATTAAGAATAGAGATAGTAAGGGGCGGGGATTCTCAACTGAATTTGTAAGTCTCTTTTTATTCAATATTTAGATACGTCATGCATTATAATTGTATTAATGATTGCTATAATCATCTGTGATCCAGATATCGACCCTGTCTTGACTAGAGAGCGTATAATTATCATAACAAAGGGTCCAGGTAAAATGATAAGAAAAAAAACACAGATAAAATCTGTTTCTTGTATCATGCTTTTTTCTTTCGCATTATGATGTTAAAGGCGCTCGAATACAAAAAACCCAGCTATAATGATAATAATAATAATAGTGGGTTCTTGTATAGCGCTCATGTCTGTCAGACTTGACACTCCTGGCGCTCTATACAGAGTGAGTAAAAAAAAAACGTTTACACCTAGAAAATTGCTAATTATTTTATAAATCGTCTATGAACAGTAAATTATTATACATCTTATGAAAGAGTGTTTTATCCCAAATCATTCAGTATCATTTTTGTGTGGTATGTGTTCACGCCTGGGTGAACAGGAGGCATTGTTCACGAGAGTGCAAAAATCGACTTGAGCCAAAGTTGCCTATGTGATGTTTGAATAAAACAATTGGGATTTGGGTATTAATTCAGTCTTTGCAGATCCAAATAACACCCCTAACAAAATTAATCATGACACACATTCAAATATCGAATATCAAATATCAAGGAACATTTGTGCGCGTGTGTGTGGGTGTGTGTGACTTTGCCCTTTGCGAAAAACATATGCAATGCATTTCATTTGATACATTCAATCCATTCTCTCACTCCACTTATCCCAACATAATACATACTGAAGGCATCACTTTGGCGCAAGTCGATTGTTGCACTCTCGCAAACAATGCCCCCTGTTCATCCAAGGGTGAACACATACCACACAAAAATGGTACCAAATGATTTGGGATAAAACACTCTTTCATCAGATGTATAATAATTTACTGTTCATAGATGATTTTTAAAATAATTAGCAATTTTCTAGGTGTAAACTTTTTTTTTGACTCACACGGTAGACAGGCTTCCAATTCTTATGCTTACTCTGAATCAAGGAAATCCTGTCAGACTGTTGGAAAGAGGTTATTACATTCTTTAACTTTAAAAACAGAAATAGGTAAAAACCTGTTCAATGTTAACACAGGTAACAATTTTTAGCTCCATCTTTGGCTACATAGAAAATTAAGCTCGGATGTCCATGACTATGTAGTTATACGACTATTAGGCGGGTCTCTGTGTTATGTTTATTATAACCTTTCTAGAATACAAACCGCTCTCCTGAAATGTACTTTATTTTGCAAGATTAACAATTTACTTTTTTCTCTCTTATTGTATTGAATATAGTCACAAGTGCATACGCTTATGCAACTGGGAATCAGCCCAGCCTGACAGTTCAGTGGAGTGTTCCGTCTCAATGCAATGTGGATTACTACAGGGTATCATATCAACTCATCTCACGTAAGGCATGCCAAGATGTTCCTGTAATAGATGCTCAGGTTTACGAACTCAACGTCACATCAGTTTCCACAGATGTCTCCAAATCCATTTCAAACTTGGAATATTACGCAACTTATAACATCTCCATCATAGCTGTGATAAGAAGAGCAGAGAGTCTACCTATGAATGTTTGTGGAGACACAGGAGATGGAGGTATGTAAACAATTATGTTAATACTAGAGCGTTGGCGTATCTATGAGGAGGGAGGGGCACTTGTTCCGGATGGCACTTGAAGGGAGCAGAAAACACGCAAAAGAGAAAGAGTATAAAGAGAGATAAGTATCATTATAATATAAAGTCTTAATTTGCATAACAAATTTGCATTATAAATATTTTTCGTATTAAGGTTTCAAATGCAAAAGTTTCTACAGCTTGGTCGCCTTGCTCACCGCGTATGTTCCTTCTGGTCCCGAAATTTCGCGCCCTTCTCTCAAGGGTTCAAGTTTTATGTTAATGCAAATTATCATCAGCCCTTTTAAAAATGTAAGACAAAGGGCAATTGCAAAACCATTTAAAATGATTTGGAATTGTTAAACATTTAAAAGAAATATTGTCACTTTCCGTAATGATTAATTCTATTTTTTGATCTGGTTTAATTAATTACATTCGAATTCCTGTTTTCTATTTCTGCTTTGGATTTATATCTACTAACATTTGCTATGTTGTTAATTAACTATACAACACTGTGATTTTCTTCACAGACCCCTCTGCTATCGAGTCAGTGTCATACACCTCTACTGCCCAATCCTTGCGCTTTGTGTGGGAGGAGCCCTCTTGTGAAAGCCTACATGGTGTTTTGGATCGCTATGAATACGATCTCTATGATCCTACTAGTGGGGGAAGAACTGTCCAGAATGCATCGATCACACGAAGGAACTTTGTAAACATAACTGATCTTGATGCTTGCACAGAATATCGCTTCAGAATAAGAGTAGTTACTACCCAGCTGAAAAGGAGTGAATGGCACATGGAAATGGCAATGACTAATATATCAGGTTTGCTAAATGAGAACAAGGCCTACCGTTGTACACATTGCACTATATGCGATTAAAGAGTAATTGCTTAATAGGGAAAGTATGGAGAAATTACACGTTTCAAATTTAAAATCAAATCGGCTTTAATACAGTCCATCTCTTGAGGTTGCTCCAATTAGATTTATTTTACTGCTAGCCTAGTAAAGGCTCGTGAATAATACACATCTAACATACATCATAAAACCTAAATTTCGTTGAAGTCAATACATATTTTTAAGATAACGATTATATTTAGTATAATCACAGTATAGTCAATTCATAATTGTGAACCTGAATTAGCCCGAATGAAATGTTTATTCCTTCCTTTCTGTACACTTATCAGCTCCTGGAATCCCAGTTATTACAGAGCTTACCACATATCAGGAAGACAGTGACACTACTGGCTTGATAGTATCATGGCAACCTCCTTCCTCACCTCCATGCCAGCCTACGCATTATGAAATCAAGTACTATATTCTTCAAGGCGATATGTGTGAGGATAACTCTAGGGATCGTATAATGACTTCAGCAGGGAACGTCAATGGTTCAACTTTCACCTTCAATGTCCTGGAGTTGCGTCCCAACTCTGAGTACAGGGTGTTCGTGAGAGGCAGAACCAGTAGCGGTTATGGCGATTCGGATTCCAGAGCAGCTACTACATGATGATGTGAGTATGAGGGTGTGTGTGGGTGCGCGCGTGTCCCTCTGAATCAGCTGTAGGAAAAAGACAGAGAGCTGACAGTACGGCTAGACGAATTTACAGCTCACGATCTACTTTATACGACGCTAGACTTAATTTGACTTGACTTGACTTATGCCGTTCACGCAGGCCAGGGGCCTCGTGATGGCTTCTGTATGGTGATGGTATACCAAGTTTTTCTATTCGCAGCCAGTCTTGATGCATCTGTCAGCCTTGGTATAGATCTTGCTTTGCAGTCCTCTGAGATGCAGTCAAGCCATCTTTTGGGTGGACGGCCTCTGGGTCGATTTCCAGTGACCTTTCCTTCCCCTGCAATTTTGGGGTATCTTGTAGGTTTCATTCTTAGGGCGTGGCCGAAGTATTTGAGTATTTTAGTGGAGACTTTGTCCATAACATCTTGATCGAGGTTGAGGGATTCTTTGATGTGTGTGTTACGGATCTTATCTAGTCTTGTCACCCCCATTATGCGACGAAGGCATGCCATTTCAAACACTTGAAGTCTGTTGCTATCTTCTTTTTTAACTGTCCAGGATTCTGCCCCATAAAGCAGTATAGAGAGGATGAGTGATTGGTACAGTTGCATCTTCGTGTGACTACTAATGCTTTTTGATGTCCATATGTTATTTAGCCTTTGGAAAGCTGCCCCTGCTTTCCTGATACGATTCTTAATGTCACTTGTACTTGAGCCGTTTTCTGCTATTTTCCCTCCCAGGTACATAAAATCTTCCACCTGTTTTAGTCTGTCGTTGGCTATGTCAATGTTGAGGTTGCACTTGCTTTTGCTAATAGCTTGCACTTCTGTCTTTGCTACGTTCACCTTGAGACCAAGGTCACAGCTTGCCTTGTAGACTTTATCAACCAGTGTCTGCAGTTCCTCTGGAGTCTCGGCTATCAAGACGATGTCGTCTGCAAAACGTAAATTGTTTATGCAGGTTCCTTGAATTTTGGCTCCTATTTGGACTTCATCCATTGCCATGGTCATAACTAGTTCGAGGAGTATATTGAAAAGTTGTGGGGAGATGGCACACCCCTGCCTGACTCCTACGGTTGTCTTGAACCACTCTGTCAGCTCTCCATTTACTCCGACCGTACTCTGGGATTGTTCATACAGTGCTTGTAACAGTCGTATCAGCTTGCTTGGATATCCAAAACATCCCATCGCCTTCCACTGGCCCTTCTGCCATACCGAATCAAAAGCCTTCTGAAAGTCGATATAACAGCAGTACAGGCTTCTGTTCTTTTCCAGGTATTTCTCAGCTATTTGTCTTAGCGTGAATATTTGGTCCATCGTAGCCCTACCTGGTCTGAATCCTGCCTGGGATTCAGAGAGGATTTCTTCTGTTCTTTTGAGAATTCTTCTTTGTAGGATTGTTGTCAGCACTTTTCCTGCATGGGACAGTAGGCTGATACCTCTGTAGTTCCCACAGTCTAGCTTATCTTTCTTATAGATCGGGGTTATTATTGCTCATCCCTATTCCTCCGGGAATTTCTCAGACTCCCATATTTGGGACTTAATTTAGTTCTTTCTTAAACACATCTTTTTAATTAACTGTAAATCTAAGCATATCAGGAACTCTTGTAGCGCAGTAAAATACATGCATTATTATTATCATTATTATTATTTATCTGACTAGTTTGAATACAAGGGGAAACATAATCCTAACTGGTAGTTGAACGAATATACTTTGAATAAGACCTTGCAAAATATCATTGGAGAATATGTTGTATGAAATAAACTGGCCTGGAAATTTAGTTTAGAAAAGGTATACTACAGGGGGTTAGAGAATGTTTATGAAGACAAAATGTAGATTAGCTGATAGTAAGAAATTGTAGATGAAGTACAAATTAAAGAATAAGAAAATGAATAAGAATGAGGTTCCTCCTTTATTTTACAGATCCTACTGGTCCTCCAACTAATATCCAGTCGACTTCCACTAGGGTACGCAATATTGTCTTCACTTGGGAGAAACCAGAATGTGGTTATCGGAATGGACCAATCTCTAGCTACGAAGTTATGCTCTCCAATTCGACAGGTAACCTAAAGAGGAAAGAGTGAATGAATATCTGGTCGAGTGCTAAATGAGACGGAATCCCAGAGATTGCTTGTTTATAAGTAAAGATTAAAAAAAAAACTATCTGCCCTTGACATCATCCCAGATGGTGCTTCTTCAATTTATTAAATCCATATTATATTGTACTCATTTCGTTGAGGGATAATTTCATCTACAAAATTTCAAGGTAAAACCTTGACCACGTAGCTGAATTGCTTGCTGTTGCTGAATGAAAATATGTTCTAGTGTCATATTTCTTTGCAAAAACTGACCTGCTTTTTTTCTTCCTCTGGTAGATGACATTGATAGATTCGACGAATAATTTTGCCGCTTATAACACTGACTATATAAATATATTTGTTTATTATAAGCACCGATCAATTTATTTGTTTGCAATTATTTTTGGAAATGAGTGGATAGGTCATATTGCGGAATAATATTTTGCCATGGTAAGGCATTAAATAATATAGGATTTTCTGAATGCAGAATATCGATCAATGATAAATTCTGGTCAGTACTGAGGTATTGCTGTAAATTGCCGTATTTGGGAGTGATGTGTGGATAAAAATAGTAGGAAAAATATTGACTAAAGTTCAAAAATTGAGCAAAGAATCACTACCGGCAAAGGCAAATAAGATGCATCACGATCATGATTCTTCTACTTTGGTCCATCAATCATACATGTAGACAAATCTGTGCAACATTTTCAAATTAATGGTTTCCATTGTTCTATTCCAGGGCCTCATTTCGAAATTTTCTTAAACAAACAATTAGTCTAGCTTTGTTTCCGATATACTAGCTTAATACTCCCAAGTAAAATGTACGCATGATGTCTTGTAAAGATGTTGTAGTCTAATAGATAAGTCTCTGGACTGTAGACCACAAGGTACGGCTCGGCTCGGCTCGGCTTGGCGGCTCGGCTATAGGCAGGGTAATAATGTCTAAAGGCCATGAGCGTCAAAAGAGCACTTTATTAGAAGCCATTATTATTAATTTTATTATTCCTGTTGTTCATATCCAGGAAACGTGGTTTATCATGGTAATGTGTCGGGACCTGAGCACGAGATATTTGGCCTCATCCCCTATTCAAATTACAGCATTAGGATCAGGGCTTGGAATTATGAACTAGCAGGGGAGTATGGTCCAGCGATTTGGGCACAGACAGATGAAGCAAGTAGGTCACAAAATGCATGTCTTTTAGTTCTATTTTGATAACGATGAAGAAGACAAAACAGCGTTAAGGACGAAAATTATATCTTTTCAAATATAGCTGTTCGTTAACAATGTTAACCGTGTATCTATAGAACCAGAAATATAACTCTGATAACAATATTTATGTTGTACTCAAAGTTGTGAAATTTAGACTTGATCATCTACAGGAACTAATATTATGAGAAGATGTACTGGTACAATTCCTTAATTTGTTTTGTTGTTACATTATTCATTCTTTTTTCATCCACTCCTTAAACGAAAATAAAAAGAGCATAGAGAAGTTTCCCTTTTTTATAAATGGATCCCTAATTAAGTATTCATTACCAGTCATAAAATAAGACGTAATGGAGTTATCGTGAATTCTAGATTTCTTGCACCCAAGACCCTTATTGACAGCTGTCCATAGTGGGTTATTGATTCTGAGTGCGCGTATTGCCAAGTGCGGGTACAGTAAGATAGTATTATTACTTCAAAATATTTTGCTTCTTTCGAAATCACAGTTAATGTAAAAATCATCTAAATTGTTAACTTTGCTTGTTGAAATCTATCTTCCGCCACCATTGCCAGTCAATAGGTTCACTATGAGGATCTTTTAATTCAGACTAACCGACAGAAAACGAAACATGATATTATTTTATACTACTTCCAGTGTGTGATAGACCATTCAGTTATTTCGACCATAATTATCCTACGACTTGTCTCCATCATGTGTACATTACAGGCCCAGATCAACCAATCGGAGTAAATCTGCCATCTTCTGACAAGGAAAGTATCACAGTAGAATGGATGTCACCGAACCCTACTCTGGGCAGGATAATAGGTTACTACATTCAATACTGGGAGACGGATGATAATAGTTCCACGCCCAGAAACGTCAGCATCTCGTGTCGGGACGGGCTTTGCTCTGACATTAACTACAGGTTTTCCACAATTATTCTCCATCTCCAGCCGGACATGAATTATTCCGTTCAGGCAAGCGTGATCCCTGAAGTCGTTTTCTAAAGGGATTCTGTATATTGATAATAGGATATAAAATACCTTTTCTTAATATTGTGATAACGGACCTATGGTTTAAAATAGTATCCATCCGTACAGAGAGTTTCTGTCGGCAATTTCTTCAGATATGGCTTCCTCATTCCTGCGTTTTGCGAAGAGAACTTAAAGATATAAGACTTTACGATGTGTTTGTTGTATGATAGCTCATATAGAACTTAAAGTCTCACTGTAATACTTATAGCTACTCGTGCGCGGCCCTCTATATAACAAACAATGCATAATCTGTGACCATAGGTCCCCCATGATCCTCTTTTTCTTATGTTAATTGAGAGCTGAGTTGATGAGATAACCACCTGTCCAGTGACCTTGCACGCAGGGTGGTCTAATCCTTCCTGTAAACTAGTACAGATGGGCTTTAAGGGATGACATTCAAAGGATGACGAGAAACAAAAAAAGGAGAAGCACTCTGTGGGTTTCCTGATTTTTCTAATGTAAACAAAATATAAATGTAAGGTGAGGAGTTTTTTTTACACCATCTTGGGTTCTATATTCTTTCTGATGAAATAGAAAACAATGTCAGGAGGTTCATAACTTTGTTCTTCTCTATATTAGTACTTTCCCGTTCTTCATCTCCCTTTTATATCACAATGTTTTTCTTTCATTATACAGGTCATGGCGGAGACCATTCGGGGTGTTGGTGACCCAAGCCCGGACCCACCTGTTGTCAGGATTACATCGGAAGGAAGTACGATATTTATCTTCTCATTTTTATAATGTCACATTTAGATCTAAATAATTGTTGTAGAAATATACAAATCCCCATTCAGAAAGGGAAAGAAAGAAAGAAACGTTCAGACACAGGGAAATATAGGCTATAAAAACATCACATATGCTCATAGAACACAATCGCAGAGACTTTCAAGAAATCAACTCAAGGGCAATTTCAATACCGTATATCGTTTTGGCTATGTAGAATTCATCTTTAGATTATGTAAGAACGCCATTGAAGTGTTCGGAAGGATATATTCGGTTGAGTATTATGTTCAGGAATATTAGGCTTATTGTACAAAAAATATCACTTTAGACAAACAGTTTAAGTTGAGTAAGGGAGGGAATAATTACACAGATGACACAGATGTAGACATAAATTTGGAGAACCGTATTGAAAATCCTTCAGCCAGATCTTATCTTAATAATTAATAATAATATGGTTATTTATGTAGCGCCGGTATCCGTAAGGTTTTGACGCTCATTGCGCTTTACACATATTACCCTGGTCGTAGCCGAGCTACCAAAGTAACTAGCGCGCAAGCCTATCAGGTACCCATTTACACCTGGGTGGAGAGTGGCAAATGTAGATCAATGTTTTGCCAAAAGACATTAGTGCTGCGGCGGGACTTAAACCCCGTACCTTGTGATCTGCATTCGGGTGACTTATCCACAACACCTCTACAATTTAACCTTCAATTTAAATAAAACGAATCTACAGTAGATGTTAAAACACTGAAATTCTCTGCACAAATACAACGCCAAATGATACAATCGTACACAAATATATACTTGTATTGCACTTGTTTGTATTGATCTTATTTCCTGCTTTACAGTTCCTAGTGAGCCCCAGGAGGTGGCGGTTTCCAGCAGATCAAAATCTTTGCTGATTACCTGGAAGGAGCCGAGGTACCCGCGTGGAAAAATTATCTCCTATACGGTAACTTCAATACTTAATTTCAAGGAAAGTTCCCGTAATGCTTAAAGTGTATCCGAACTGTAATCCTTTTTCTAACCTTCTCTTTGGAGTTCTCTTCTTTATCAGGTAATATTTTTTCTAAGTTGAGTTTTCCAGTATCTTCGGTTAGACTAGGTGACTAGGTTTCATCTTAGTACTTGAATAGGACTGATATTTTGATATACACATATAGTCAATCCATTTTATGAAAAAGAAACGCATTTTTAAAATAAATTTATTTCTGAATCATTTCGGAATCACTGAATCATAATTTATGCTGAAGTATAGGTACAGTTGTGGAGTTTGTCCAACCAAGATTTGTTTCGATGAGTCAAATAAGCTTCACAGTGCAGGTTACCAGTTTGATATTCAAGTCTCATTAATAAAGAATCGTTTAAACGCCCCTCCCCCCCCCCCCCCCGAAAAAAAAAAAAAAAAAATGTATGCAGATGCATTTTACCGATCTTTTAAAAATGAACGGACAAAGACTTTTTCAGTTGTTTCCAGGTCAAATTGCAAATATCCACAAGGCGACCTTAATACACATCAGTGGATGATATTATTATCCACAATTGCGTTATCTCTTTCTCTCTCTCTCTAGCTGGCCTACAAAGTAAAAGGAAAGCCATACGACAGATCATTCCAGCCAGGAGATTCATTTACAATGAAAGAGGTAGCGGGAGCCTCTTCGAGCTTTGTACTTGATGATCTGGAGCCAGCTACGCTCTATGAGGTCTACGTGGTAGCGTCCACTAGCAAAGGAGAGGGGGAGTCTAGTCAGCATGTTGAAGAATTTACGGAACCTCCTGCAGGTATTGGAAGAAACATGTATGAATTTGGAAGTTGTTAAAAAAAGAACCCCCCCCACCCCCCCCCCCCCCAAAAAAAAAAAGGGGGGGGAGAAGAAAAAATAAGTACATAATTGATGAAATAAATAAGTGAATAACATGAAGATAATTTAATAGGGGTTATAATATTGTGAGAGGGTAGTGTCAAATTTGTAGTAAAGATTACATACGATTACAAATTAACATGATAACAAAGTAACAAGGTGAATGTGATTCTCCATCCATCTTGACAATAAAGATGACGACAATAGGACAAACCCGTTAACACTAAACTTGTTTTGCATACATGTTAACATTAGTTTTATTGGTGTTTGACGCTGACCAAAACCCCCCATGTTTAACCATTGACACCTCCTATAGCTTTATAAAATACAGTGCTTACACTATTCATTATAAATCAAGATGACAGGGTTCGAATTACATCAGTGACAATAAGCCCAGGTCCCACGTGGTAAATATTAGGACTTTAGTGCAACCGTCTTCTACTTTTCTTTTCGAATAAGAAATAAGAGATTACCATCACTATCCAGTTTATAACCGCCGTGTACGGCAGCGAAAACCTGATACTTAGAATTAATTACTAGTCTCGCAAAATTTGTTAACGTGTGCAACTAACTGTAAACAGAGGATTTATCTAATTTCAATATTAGATAAAGGTCATTGCTCAATGAGGTTTAAGTTTGATGTTGACATCTCTTTTTTGTAATGTGCCATAGCTGACGAGCTTCCAAAGCCCAACCCACCAGTGATAGTGTCTTCCCCTGACGGTTCGCCTACCATTCAGTTTAGCGATATGCTTGAATCTCCATATATAACGTAAGTATTCTTGCAAGCCGTGTCTCGCGTTCGCCAGCTACATATTCCAAACGATGTTTGTCGACCTTAAATTATATAAATCTTTGTATCTTGTTTATGTATATATATATATATATATATATATATATATATATAGACCAGCGCTTATAAACAGTAATATAAATCGACATTCCTGCTATATTTTCATCATAGACTACCTTTTCTAATGTACAAGCTTTTGTTATATTAATTCTTGAATGCATTAATTTATTAATTGTGAAGGCTACTTTTCCTCAAGAAGTAATATGATTTTTTAAAGAAAGTCTGCTAGTCATGTAATGATGTATACAAGCTGTGGCATCAACATTATTTACACAAGGGCTGACAAGGGCCTACATAAATTTAGGTTTTGCTCGTCTTTGCTTTATAATAAAATGATGATTATTAAAATTAAGGATAGTGATAGAGGGTATAATCATGACAAATATCTCTTTAAACTCTCAGGCACATACTTGTTGCTGTTGAAGAGAGACGTCCGTTAGCAAGGCGCCGACGTCAACAGGCAGCGTATGGATCCTATGCCGAGAATCCCTCCTCATACATAGCAGCTAACATCAGCAAAGATGATCTTCCGATAGAGCTAACTATAGGGGATAACGAGACTTATGGACATTACCACAATGCACCCCTCAGAGACAAGGCGATATATGATATTCGAACAGGTGTTGAGAGCAATGTTGGAGGAAAGGTAAGATATTAACGGTGGATATGTATGTCCAAAGGGACTGACGGCCTGCCTACACGATGTAAGAGCCCACGGTTTCGTAGCATAATTATATTGTGGAAGTAATATTTAGGTGCAAATATCGGTGATAAGGGACAATAATGAGTGGCTTAAGAATGAGTGTTTTCGTCGGGTGTATCTGAAATTGTTATCATTGTCTAATATAGCTCCTTTTAGATACAAGCCCTATCAGAAAAACGCAACGTGTGGTATTATTTAGAGGACAGTTCCGCGGGGGAAAAACACAATAACACATTATGGATCAAATAATTCAAGTGATATGGGTTAGCCTTTTAGAGAATTTCAATATTTTGTAATGATTCGTGCTACACAACTTGATGGAACATTACAAATAGGCCTATACCATTTTTAAAAACTTAATCGCCGTTATGAACTCCGATGAAAGTGGTCTAACTACTTGAGTACTTGGTACCTGTTATTACCCAAAGTCACTTGGAAGTGCAGGATATGGCCATTGTATGTATATCGCAGAGGCATTAACACATGTTATGCGCTTCCCTAGTATAGAAAAGGTTCGACTAAACTTCATTAAAACTGCCACTGGATAAATACATCACCATTTCATTTCAGTAAAAATGTTTTTCATATTCCTTGTTTACCTTTTATTTAGAAATCCACTCTGTTCGGAGATCCGTCTGAAGTACAAACAGGTAGGATGGCCTATTTTATGAGAGTCTTGCACTTGAAATCGCTTTTGCTTTTGAATGGAAATTGTCCCGATTGTCCTACGTTTAAAGAGATATGGCACATTCCCATTGCTTGTACTTGTAACTTCTTTTTAGATCAAACGAACCTCTTCAATATGTTCAATATCAATGCGGCTTAACTTACTACGAATATGTAAGCAATCATTGTTAATTAGTACCAAAACAAATGGTTCTCTACGATCGGGAAATCAAAGTGGTAAATGCAGTCGAAATTCATTGAGCAGATTTCTCGAAGTTAATGACTTTTGCCCAAGATTCCTGATTTGCATCAATTTTGGATGCAAGGTCTGACTAAGTTATGAATATCAATACTTCTATACCTATACTAGGTTTTAAATGCAAAAGTTTCTTTTTTGCTCATCGCGTATGTTACTTCAGACCCCCAAATATAAGATATAGTTTTTTTCAGTTTCTCTCAAGGGTTCTCAAGGGGTTTAAAGTACAGTTGTTTGCGAATTACCTCTTACAAGTACTAATATTTGCTAGGTTTTTTTTTATCATTCAACACTTTGACTTTCTTCCCAGACCCCTCTGCCCTCTGATTCAGTGTCGTACACCTCTACTCCCCACTCATTGCACTTTGGGTTTGGGGGAACCCTCTCATTCATTGTAAACAAAAAATGTGTCCATGTCTCCCCTCTCATCACTGATCTTCATTGGCTCCGCGTTAATAATCGTATCATAATATAACACCTTAACTCTCACTTACAAGTGTCTCAATAATCAGGCCACATCATACCGAGGTAATCTACTCCATTCGCATGCATCTATGTATCATCGGCCAGTAGTAAAACACTTACCGTCCCACGAACCAGTAAGCAGATAGGTGATAGGGCTTCTTCCGTTATTTCCCCCAAAACCTGGAACTCCTTACCCAATGTACTAACGAATTGCCATACTTTCACAGCTCTCAAGAGGTGTCTGTAAAAACATATTATTTCTGTTTTGTTGTACTATTCCTCTCAGTTTGTAATTAATGCAAGCTTGGTATGATGATGTTCTCTCTTTTTGTTTGTAAGTTTGTACTTTTTGTATGCGCTTTGTATCTAATGAAAAGGCGCTTTATAAATGAAATATTATATTATATTATTTGATACATAACGATGAAGATGTCGCAATGCTGGATTCTAGACCACATTCTTAATGACCTTTGTTTAGGCGTTCATCAGTCAGAATGCGACTCATTACTGCCATGGTTTTGGCAATATAGTGTCACTGTAAGATTTTGATCATGACCGGCCAATATTTTTGCTAAGTACATTGAGAGCTACCATTGCTGAACATCGAAATTGCAATTCCTATCTAAAGTATGTTCACAATAATTGACAAATATATTGAATTATTGCAATCGCTGCATCTTTTGAATCTAAAAACAAAGGTTTTGGTTTCTGGTTTTGGAAACATTGGTTGTCCGCATTAGTAAAACTATATTGACATCTACATTTATACATAGAGCATAATTTTGTAATTTTTGTTTTTAATGCTCCTTGATAATCGATATTATTATTATTATATTGTTATTACTATTATATTAGTAATATTGATTTTTGCTTGAAGTAGTTTTGATTTGTGTATATGTACAGCGCTTTGAAACTTTTGTCACAAGCGCTATATAAATTTGTCATATTATTATTATTATATTACTATTATTATTATCATTTAATTTGTATAATTTGTTCGTCTTGACCTCACTTTTCCATTCATTGAACAATAATCGTACACCCCCACACGCGCACACCCACACAAATTTCCATACGTGAATTGTGAATGTCTAGCTGTGATAGTAAGCTAACTACTGGGACTGGTCTTTTCGCATGCCATTACAATCAATTATGATCATAATTATACTGCTAGTACATGTGTATCTGATTTATTAAGTATTTATCTATAACAACTCTGATGCTACCTCGGTATTTCTAATCTAATATCTGATTTATTAAGCATTAATCTATTAACTCTGATGCTATCTTCGTGACTTTTTAACTCCTGTCATTTCTTTTCACTACCATCCTTGTTCCCACACCATCCTCTTCACCTACTGTCTCTTCTCCATCAACATCAAACTCAGCTGGAGTTCCTTCAGGTTCCATAGCAACTGTCGTAGGAAGCGCTGTTGGTGCTATTTTTGTGATTGTTATCGTTATAATTCTCATCATCATCTTTTACAAGCGAAGAAGGTTAGAGAGATACCTTTTTCTTAACCTGCCCCTCGCATCAGTCCATCCGCATCGTACTGCTCCATACAAGATGCTAAAACCGTATGGTCATGAAACAACAAGATGAATTATGATTGTATTTTTGTTTGGGTCTGTATAGTAATTTAATTTATTGTTTAAAAAAATGATATTCAATGTAAATATTCTAAAGCATAACGCTTTCTTAATACCATGGCAACCAGTTTGAAAGTCGTATGTAATAGTAAGTTTTTTTGTAAATACCATTCCCCAACACCAATTGTCATGTTGACATGTTTATATATACCTATTTATTGGGACATAATTATTGTTTTAATTACGTATTTCATTACTGTGGTTTATATCTTTGTTTTCATATTAACTTACAGCGATGAATCAGCCACTACTCAGTCTAAAGGGAAGGAGTCCGATTCGTCTCCGCAGTATGAGAACCCTGTATTTGATCCGTCAAATACAGACGTCCATACCTATCAAGACCTGCACACTGACAGCCACACCTACCAAGGTGTTAATACCGATGCGCAGAGCTACCAGAATCTTGCTGACTCTCATACCTACCAAGATCTTAAGAAACCTGATCAAGAAGCTATATACGAAGATGTAACTGACGCCATGAACAGAGAGTATGTCAATGTGGTGAAGAAGAATTGAATACACGAGATGAAGAAAGTCCATTAAGATGATTTTGAGTTATCAAAACAAAAGTTTTTATAATTTTAAGGGGAAATATATTACAAATATATGTCTATGTCTCGATAATTTCGTGAAGATGAAACCATGCTTTATAACTTATCGTGAAATATCAAATTTAATCTTAATAACTGAAAGAAAAACTGTGCCGATGGACTGTCGCGTCTCCTCTTAAGTATCCAAATGGAATACCATGACGAAAGCTGTCAAAAAGTATCATGGCTTCGTTTTCATTCACCATCTCTACTCGCCTTACTCCCAAATCTGTTAATATCGGGGATCAGTTGAAATACAACCTTTTTTAAATAACCATGATTCGCACAGGTCTGACAAATTTGGGTAAAAATAGTTGTACACCTTGGGTACCACACTACATGAAAGTAAAGGTATGGGATTAGTTTCTTTAAAGCCTATCTGCACTAGTTTGGCCAGGAGGGATTAAACCTCCGTGTATGGTCACTGACAGGTGGTTATCTCATGAAATCAGCTCTCAATTAACATATGAAAAAGGGTACCGTGGGTCACCAATGGTCACCACTTAGGCAGTGTATTGATTACTTGTGTTAATGCCTCTCGTTGCTGGTGGAAAGCATTATTACAGCATCGATGAATAAGAATGAATAAATTATCAATTATTATTATTATATTTGTTATTATCAACATTAATATTATTATCATTATTATAATTATCATAAACATTATTATTATTATTATTATCATTATCATTATTACTATGAATGTTATTATTACTACTTCCACTTCGACTACTTCTACTACATCTTCTAAGCAGTGGAATTCAAGTTGATTAATAGTTCAATGATAATGTGTTAGGATGTTAACGATGAAATATGAAAATATAAGATGTGAATATAGATATAGACTATGCACAATAAAGTACACGTGAAATGTGGTGGTAAGCATTATTTCCACATTTGTGGAAATTATAAATAAATTATCAGTTATTATTAATGTCATTACTACTACTACTACTACTACAACAACTACTACTACTACTACTACTACTACTACTACTACTACTTATACTATCTACTACTACTACTACTACTACTACTACTACTACTAATACTACTACGACTTATACGTCTACTAAACAGTGGAATTAAAGTTGATGAATAGGTAAACGATAATGTGTTAGGATGTGAACGATGAAATATAAAATATAAGATGTGAACATAGATATAGTCTATGCACAATAACGTTAACGTGAAATGTGGTTGAAGCGTTATTTCCACATTTGTGGAAATTAAAAACAAATTATAAGTTATTATTAATATCATTACTACTACTACTACCACTACTACTACTACTTCTACTACTATTATTACTTCTATTATCTACTACTAATACTACTGCTACTACTACTTCTACGACTGCTACCTCTACGTCTACTAAACAGTGGGATTTAAGTTGATGAATAGGTAAACGATAATGTGTTAGGATGTGAACGATGAAATATGAAAATAAAAGCTGTGAATATAGACCAAGACTATGCACCATAAAATTAACGTGACAGCATTATGTTATGTGAGGCTGGATGTTTAGCGAATCATTATATAGTAGAATTAGAAGTTAATTAATAGAGTAAGATAATGCAATCCAAGTCAACATGTATATATTACCATATGAGCAGGGGATGTTTAGGCACATATTAAATATGAATACGGATAAATAAAAATATAGAACGCACATATGTAAACATCAAAGAAGTAAAAACAATAAAGAATACAAAAGCAAATCAAGTTATTTTGTTTCAGCTCGTCATTTGGCACTTTTGAACGGTTCTCAACAAAATTAATCCGTCTGATTATTAAAGCAGTTTAACATGTGGCAGACTGTTAGCACAGCCAGTTAGATACAAGCCAGATTACTTCGCGGTAACAATTATTACATTTAAAAATGCATTAATCAGGAGAAGATGATTACAAAAAAATTCACCTAAATTCCCCCATTATGCTAAAAAAAAGATTTGTCATTCTTTTGGGGGGATCTCAACCATCGTTCTCATTGTAACTATTTAATTATTACTCGGGGAATTATTCATAAAGACTTATGAACACATATTTAATACCATTTTATTTAAAACAGTGAAATGTTTTTTTATATGAAATATTTAGACATGAAATCCAGCAAATCATAATTAAGGTTTTGTGGATTATTTCCAAACATATGAAGATGCAATTCCAGGTGCATGGTGTAGAAGATTTCACGACGATGCCCCAGACGATATCTAAAATGTCGTATCCGGACACCTACCCACTGGACATCAATTCAATTCAATTATTTTTCCTCTTTCAACTGTTCATATTTACAATGATAGTACGTTTAAACATATTCACATATAAATAATAGGTATATGTATATTATACATATACCTGTAAATCAATTTGCACAATACAATACGTCAAACAATTAAACATGCAGTTGAAAGGGAAGGGGGCCGACAAAAAAGCAGAGCTTGTAGGGTGCAGGCCCCCCTGTAAAAGTAATTATTATGAATTATTATTATGAATTATTTTTATTACATCCACCCCCGGATAACCACCCCAGTCAACTAACCCCTAGGACAACTACCCCATACGGCAAACACCCTCTAGGACGACTATCCCCAGGACAACTACCCCAGACAACTAGTAAAGGTTACAGCTTGAAGTGTATGGCGCCCTCAATTTGCATGTTTGAAGACAGAATGGAGTGACTGAGAGAGGGAAGTAACATGCCTATTACACGCAGTGTTTACGGACAATGCCTCACTGACTATCTTTCATATGGAGTGATACTATCATACAAATATTTATGAAAGAAACACAATTCAAGTGTTCCGCACTTCCGCGTACAACAGAAATCCCAACTTATGTATTATGTTATCAATATTTGTCTTCAACACATTTGGGGGCAATCTTTGCAGAAGTATATTATAATCAATGAATGCTTTGATCGAAAAATGTAAGTGAAGTGAATCAAATACACTATTCATATAATCTTCGTCTCAAATGCTCACACACACACACAAACACACACACAATCATCAACGCACACACACACACACCCACACACATACGCACCAACCTCTCGCACACAGAGCCCACATATACGGGTCCACATATGCCCATACATTATGCGGGCCTACATATCAAAATATACCACCGCTAAGACGACAGTTGTAAAAAGGCATGAAAAAGGAGAAGAAGGCAAATAAGTAACCAATGGAATCATTTCTTGCGTTCCTTTTACAAGCTAAATTATTATAAGGAGAACAAATATTTTCAATATAAACATCCAGTTTCTGTAAGGTTCCGCCTTGATATCCGGCAGTGTAGTGGTATTTTCCCCTTTAGATGAGGCAAATCTTCTAGCTGCAAAGTGGGGATCAGACACAATCTATCGGAGCACGCTATTTGCTGTTCCATAAATAGCTAGCTCGATATACATGTATGACGTAGTTTGAATCGCATTTGAGTGATTACCAGGTCGCTATAAGTATATACTTTTAACGATTTCCGTGACCCCGATAGACGGATTTCCAACACAAGGAAATCAGAACATATCTGAATTTAAATTGTGAGAGAAGGAAGAAACTTTGTGTTCTCGAGTCTTGGCAAGGGATGTTGTCAAAGATTGAAGTAGTTTGCAGAAAGTTTTCCTTCTGTCTAGCACGACCAGCTTAGGTATAGAACTGACTTAAATTTGTTTGACTTAAAGTTTCACCTGAAACACTGTCGATTACCAAACAAAACTAATAACGGTATAACTTGTACCTTACCCAAGCGAACCAAAACAGTTGTAAGACTGGTATTGAAGAGCTACATGTACAAAGGTGCGCTTGGATTGTTTAAAATGTTAATTTTGGAGCCTGCAATTTTTGTTCAAGGCCTTTCTGGCCTGGATTTAGTATTGAACTAGCCTTTAAACAAGGCCACATGTCTGATAGACGCCGAGCGACCGCTGATTGGGGTGGAAAATAGGCAGAGTCACGAGGCCTTGTCAAAAGACTAGTATCGAACACACTCCATTACAGAGAATTCCTTAAGGATTTGGAATGGTGTATCTATAGAGCAAAGGGCTCGACTAATCACTGACAAATTTGTTTTATCTATTTACTAGTGTGTTCACCTGCGTATTATGGCGTCTTTACTAAGTTGGAGAAAATCATTTTCTGGACTCATACTTGTATTGTTCTACATAGCTGCTACAAGTAATGGTAAGTAAATAAATACACATTATTATCTTTACGAAACAATGTGCCTTATAAATAACCTCCATTCATTCAAAAAATATACTTGAATAAGAGAAATAAAATAAGCTACGCTGTAAAAGTAAGGAAAAGACACACACAAAACAAAAAAATAACAAATTTCTCTTTTTAAAGTCAATGTAAGTCCATACATATTTCAGTATATGTATCCGGATATTTGTTGCGTAACGTTACTTTATACTAGCCTAGGTGAGGCAAAAAATAAGAAATAATAAGCTTAGAAACTTTTGAATGTTAAAAGCTCAAAACTTATAGCTCGAACCAATGTGATGTTTGTATACCAAAGTTAAGGGTGTGAAAGTCATTAAGAGTCAGGTTTGTGACATTTCTTTTGAAAAGAAATATCAACATTTCTGATTACATTTTAACTGTTTGGCAATTCGAGGACATAAAATCGGTGTCAGTAATTAATTGAGATCACACCAGTATACCGTTGTGAAATTGTACAAGTCCGAAGCGTCTCTTATAACACAGGGTAATGCAGACGAAGGTCGCTTCTCTCAATGAGCCATTTTCATAATGTTTTCAAATATATCTCTTTGTATTCCCTCGATAGATAATAATAATAATAATAATAATAATAATTTATATTTATATAGCGGACATATTTATTTATTTCACATATTTATACAGGGTATCTCATTCAGATTAAAAACTGGTCTTCCATAAGGCCCTGTCTTGTACATGCATTCTGAACGTGCTGCATTCTGACCATGCATGATGCTTAAGGCGCTCCAACTATTATTCATGCACCTCAATAATTGTATGACAGTATGCAAAATTGCATGCATTGCGCGTTGTTAGGTAGGGTTTATTTATGGCTTGATTCTCGTTTAAACATAAAGAAGTACATATCCAACACATGCAAATCTGCCTTCCACAGTGTTTATTTTATGCAATGTCCGTCACATTTGTCGATATTAAGACCGGAAAACACTGAAAGCCTTGTCCATGCATTCAATAGCAGTAGGCTTGATTATTGTAATGGATTATGGTTTGGCTTGCCATATTTACAAATAATCAGGTTACAGCACGTTCAGAATGCATGTACAAGACTTTTATCCGATTCCACGAAATGTTCCACTATTACACATGTTTTTAATAGTAAGGCCACATTGGTTGCCAATGAGGCATAGTATGGCATGTGAGATACTTTTGCTTGTTTACAAAGCGTTGAATGGTAAAAGCCCCAAATTATTGGAAAGGGTATTTGTCCGCGGAAAGTTTGTAAGAAGAGTGTCTCAAAGAGAGAAAATCTAGGAATAATTGCATTTTGCCCCGACCCCCAACAAAAAAAATCCTCTATGTGGGCATGCCTTGAACCATTATGCATTGCCCTACAGTGGAATTTGTCCTGTTGGGGACCGGGGGAAATTGTAATGAATTATTGATAATTTATTGCATTTTCTTTGTTTTGGGGTATTTGTGAGGGCGGCGACGTACCCTAGCCCCCACTGCGTACAGTCATGATTCAGTGGCTAAAAAATGGTTTTGTTACTGTGACGCCCCAGAATAAAAACCGTGTCGATCAGCTATATTAGTGCCATTTTGTGAGGCATTAATCCTCATTACTGTCCGTTATGACTTAAGGACGTAGGTCAGTGGCGTACCTGGGGTACTCCGTCAGGAGGGGCAAGCGACCGAAACAAACAAAAAAGGCGATGCTAATTTTCACTTCTGGCGAGCGAGCGAGCGAGCAAAAAAAAAAAATCTTTAAGTAACGTTTGGTATATAAACTGGTATTGTTGCAAGTTGGGGGTGGGAACATTCACTTGTTAGCGACGTTAATTTCATTTTTTTGCAAACTAGTGTAGCGAGCAAGAAAAAAATCACTTCTTTTTTAATAATTGCCACTTAAACTTGGTTCAATAATAATTGTCCCATGCAGGGCGCGGGAACAATATTGTGTTTAGGGTGATTTTATACCTATTTTAGCTAGCGAGCGAAAATACATCTTTCTCTCAATGAATTGCTATATAAAATTTGTTTCATTGTTGCAGGTAGGGGGCGGGCACAACCGTGTTTAAGGCAATGTCAATCCCATTTTGGCGGGCAGGCAACCCCCTACATTTCTCTTTTTAATGATATTGTAGCAGGTTAGTGGTGGGTACATAATTCCACGAGCTAGCGAGCGTAGCGAGCGAAAAAAAAAATCACTTTCCTTTTATAGGGAAAATATGGTACATAAAACTTGGGTTCATTGTTCCATGTCAGGGACGTGATTATTAAAAGCGGTGTTAATTCTATTTTGGCGAGCGAGCGTAGCGAGCGTGCAAAAAAAGATCACTTCTCTTTATAGGGAAAATATGGTATATAAACTTGGTTTAATTGTTCCATGTCAGGGACGTGATTATTAAAAGCTTTGTTATTTCTATTTTGGCGAGCGAGCGTAGCGAGCGAGCAAAATTTTTGTAATGATAATTGGTTCATAAATTTCAGATTTTTTTGTTGCAGGGCAGGGCTTACACAATCATGTCTAAGGTGATGTTCATTCCGTTTTGGCGAGCACGAGCACACCAAAACTTCTTTGAATAACGTTTCGTTCATAATTATTAACTGGTTGTTGCAGGTTGGGGCGGGCACGTTAGCGGTGTCAATTCCATTTTGGCGAGCGAGCATAGCGAGCAAGCAAAAAAATAAATTCTCTTTTAATAGAAATTAATAAATAAACTTGTTTTTATTGGTGCAGGTCAGGATGGACGCAATCGCGTTTAACGCGATTCAATTCCTTTTTGGCGAGAGGGCGAAAAACTCTTCCATTTTTAATGATATTGTTGCAGGTCAAGGGTGGGCACAATTGTTTCCAAAGCAATGTCTATTCATTTCATTCGCGAGCGAGTGTAGCGAGCGAGAAAAATGAATTAGTCTCTTCTAGTAACATTTGGTACATATATTGTGTGTTATTGTTGCCATGGTTGCAGGTCGGGGCAGGCACAATTGTATTCTAGGCAATACTAATCCTTTTCTTTTTTCAGGGGGACGAGGAAGTGAAAACATTTAATACAAAATAGGCTAGCAAGCAGTTCGCGCCAGCGAAGAGTTTCAAATTAGTTATATCACTTATATTTTCCTATTTTCATTTGTTTTAATTTTTCAGGGCCGTATGCGGAATATTTTTCTGATGGGGGAAGGGGGAAAGATGCATTAAAAGTTTTCGAAGAATCTCAAAAGCAAAAGGAGTGAAGGGAGTTCGAGCGACCGAACTGGTCATGAGGGTACTTTTGCATTTTCAAAAGTAGAATTGAAGGATTTGGTATAGGCCTACACTACATTTTCAGGAAAAAAACTGTACGATTTCAAAATATCTGGGGTCAACTGCCCCCCCCCCCTGGTGCTTACAGCCATGTTCTTTATTTTTTTTCCCATTTTTATTCCTTTCCTTTTTTTTTCCCTTTTTCTTCCTTTTCTCTTCTTCTTCCTTTTTTCTTTCCTTTTTTTCCTTTTTTCTCTTTCTTTCCTTTTTTCTTTCCTTTTCCTTTTTTCTTTTTCTTTCCTTTCCCTTTCTTTTCTTTTCTTTCCCCTTTTTCTTTTTTTCCCCTGGAGCCCGTCAGGGGGGGGGGCACTCTGCCCCCCCTGCCCCCCCCATAGGTACGCCAGTGACGTAGGTCTCCTATCTGATTCGCACAGTATCACACACATACTTCAGCAGTCACGCAAAACAAACACTCGCAAATTATTACTCAATACAATCTGAGAATGTATACTATTATTTAGAGCAATTAGGAATAAATCATTGTCAAAATCATTCCAGAAATTGGGATGAAATTAATTATTCCACCTTTATGACCAACAGTGTATACCCCAGGGGCAAAAATCCAAAGTTGACAGGAGGAGCCTGGCCGGAGTCCGTAAAGCCGCCGTAAAGCCGCCCGACGGCGGCCCGTTACCATCATGGAGCGTGCTGGAAGCACGCCCGACTTTGCACAAGTCGCTGGCGGGATACGGAAAGGGGACGTTCAAGTTTCGGAGGGAGCTATTGCGGACGGGTGGCCGCGACGCTCTGCCGACCTTAATAATCCCGCCCGAATATCGATCGTCTATTTGCCGATGCCCGAGCGATGTACGCGCGACCTATTTACGAGCTCTGCGACCTTAACATTCGCCATTGGGCAATCGCTAAATAAGGAGCAGGTTTCGGTGCCTTGCGATTGTCGGCCGACCCCTAAAAACGCGGTGGAGCCCGCAGTGATCGAGCAGACACTGGCCGTATTTCTGGCAAAAATGCCCTTTTGAGCTCGCAGAGAAGTCGGGCGGGGTCCGTTTTTAATATTTGACGGCCCCTTAAGAACCCCTGGTCGAAGCATAGTTTCACTATTTAAAATATATATATATATAATTTTGTTTTTGGTTGGGGGGATGTCTTTATTTTTCATATACTAAACTCTAATACGTCATCTGTGGGTTAAAGAATATTTCTGTGAGCATTTTAATGACATATTCAGACTAGCTCCTAGGTAATTTCACATTTAGCTTAGGCGCTATGGCGAATGCTATTAAAGATGACTCCCCTCATTCAGGACCGGAAGCCTAAATTATAGTCTATGTAGTCCACTGAGATGTGCATACTATTAAATCTATTATTGAATATTGTTATGTTTTTCTAGGATACATCGTAGACCTGACATTAGTGACCAATCACCCCTTCCTGGATCCTTCCAACACACGTGATCAATATATCGGCGCCTACCTAGGACAGAAAGATGCGAGCATCAGAGACGATATCACGTTCGATCGAATTATCCGGACCGTTGATACTGCAAGTCTACCAGACTATATCGTCGAGGTAAATGAAGATCCACGTATAAGAAAGCTAATATTCGAACAGTCCAATCAAACCAAGGCATCAGGAGCATTCCAGGCAGCTTTCGAATTTGAAGGAACCACACATACTTCTTCAACTGTTGTCTTGATGCACAATGGTGAGTATAAATATTTGTGAAATCTGTCCAGTTTTGGGCCACCGGAAGTAAGCCTCGGTCACAAATGCCATTACGAACTGCTACGAACGCCGTACGAACGATTTTCAGCTCATGGAAATTCGGGAAGACCATGGAAAAACAGGGAGATTCTGACCGTAGCCTAATGTAACTTGTTTACTGGGTCTGCAGTCGGTCTTGTATATATCTCGTTGGTGTTAATTGATGGATAATGCTTGTACGTTATTTCAGTTTCTTGGAACATAATATCAGCATGCGCAGCCAACTGAGGGCCACCTTTTCCAGAAAAAAATTAACACAGGGACCAGATTTATTTACCTGTGGACGTTCCCTATTATTTTGAAACATGAAACTAGTAGCACCAGTCTAAAGGAAACACATTCTCTAAAACTGGAAATAGTTTTAAGAAGACCTTTGAACTTTTAAAATGAACACGAGATGCATTTTCTGAGAATTTTTCCTCATTTCCTGACTTCATGAAATAGGGTCTCCCATGTTTTAGGGTAGCCTTGTTAATTGTAATATTGTTCTTCCCGATGCCCTGCAATCATACCCCCCCCCCCACTTCAGCCGGGCAACCAAGGTAAGGCCCAGAAGCGTTGAAGGATTTATTCTCACCGATCCGGTTTAATACCCATTTGTTTCATAGTGGGGAGAGTGGCTAATGTAGATTAATCTCTTGCAAAAGGAAAGTATTGCCGTAACAGAGATTCGAATCCGTACCATGTACTTTAGTGACTTTATTACTAGAATACGACATCTTCAATATAGTGATTGACTTAAATAATCGCCAAATGTACATGTAAGCCTATACATACATTTGAAATAATACTCGAGCGAGCGTATATCTGCATATGTATAAAAGACCCCATTCATATGCTTACAAATTGGTAGTCCTATACAGATCAATCTTTCACTGACTTTCAGAATTTTCCCATACAATTAATAACTTTTTTTCAGAAGAAATTTTCCCCAAAGCTGCTTTTGCACTTCATTAACATTTTTTGTACTGGCATATTACTCCCATTCACTTTACAGCGATAATCTTGCCTGAACAGACAACGTTGACTGTCCATGAGGGGGAAGATGTTACACTCGATGTTGTCACCAATACAGATGACTTCCGGTGGCGGTTTAATGGAAATGTTGTACCGGACAGCAGAAGAAAGCAAAGTCTTACCTTGGCGAACGTGAGGCTAAACCAAGCTGGGGTATATAAGTGTTATAAAGCTGGAAAACGATGGGATGCAGGAAATGCAATATTCCTTCTTCATGTCGTCAGTAAGTTGACAGCTTACTATCCGTACATGTATCTAAAGCATCTTTATATTCAAACATCGTTGAAATTGTCTATAATTCTATATTATTGTTGCCAGCAAAATATCAGTGAAATGAAAATTGAATATTGACAATGATAATCTTTTTATTGTGTTAGGGGGGATGTATAGATAGAAAGTTAGAATGCAGGCATGTCAATGCATATTGGCATACCGGTTATCTACTTCTGATATTGTTTGCTGCTGGATTCTTATCCACTTTGAAATACTAAAACTGTTTACTTAAACCAGAATGCCCAGCTCATCGTTGGGGATCTGAATGTGAACATACCTGTACTGGGTGTCTCAATGGAGGCAAGTGTGATGTAGACTCAGGAGAGTGTGTATGTCCTCCTGGTTTCAACGGGACAACATGTGAACACGGTAGGTTTTACATTTCTATGGGTCCTCTGCACTTCGAGACACTGGCGTAGACATACTTGTTGAACAATTTGGGGGCGAGGGGGGGGGGATGGCACAGACGGACACAACAAGCAAAGAGTCACATATTTACAAACACACACATACACACAGACACACACGAACACACTCATAAAGAGTTTAAGTTCCATGGATGACCTTTTTTTCAAAGTGGATGAATTTACGCCCCCCCCCCACACACACACACCCTGACTACCCATATACCTAGACACCAAGCTTCCGAAGCGAAATGTTGAGTGAATATTTTTTTTTAGTTTACACATTTTATTTCAACACATGCCAAACTATTTTTTTTTGTCTTGGATTCAGCTCAATATTTGTTTGATGTGAATGAAAACAATGATTTCATGTAAAATACATGCTTGAAATAAGGTTCAATCTGTAATACTCTTCGAATGCATAGTGATGAACATAACAACATCATCTTTCATTAATCAGATTCAATCGATGAAACCCTTGGTTAAGAAAACAGCATTGTTTCATCGGCAAGTTCGTACATTTTGATCGTTCAATACCTAAAACTCTTTTCAATAAAGCTATCACTTGAATCAGAATCAAATCAACTCAATGTCGATAGAATAATACTAGAAACTCTATAATGAAAGCAGTTGTATCATTATCTCTTCATTCATCCTAAGTCCTGGGCAGCAACCGGTTTGGGCAGGATGGCAGCTTTTCTTGTGATTCCTCAGGAGATGATCACAGTCCAGGATGTCGTGGTAAACTCTTCTGCCTACCAGACCCCTTTGGATGCACCTGTGCAGCAGGATTAATGGGAATCAATTGTACAACAGGTACTTTGAGTCATGTGAATCAAATTCTGGAATCGTTCATAAGCGAATATTTTAACTACCTGAGACCTCCAAAATACATCATCTTGAAAGAAAAATGTATAAAACACATTCGTTTAAAAACGGATTAGTCATCAATTTACATGTATATGTATTTTTCAACAGTTCTTCACATGTCTATTCGAGCAAATAATTTATTTTTCATGGACGGGGCTTTTACTCTCCAACACTTGACATATTTGATATTCTTTTGCGTAAGTGAAGGTAACGAGAAAAGAGATGAAAGAAAACAAATCAACCTTGACATTGCTTTCATTATTAGCCCCGACAAAAACTGAATAAGAAAGACATGAGTGACGAAGAAGGCATATTTATATTTGTAGTATTGAATGGGTTAAACCATTTGATTCTCAAGACTGAAAGAAAGGTTGCTCCATGTGTGACCTTTCAACTCATGTGATGAGAACAGGTATTCGTTTACATAGAAGTGCTTTTCAAAGGACAATTAGTCTTCTTGTCAAGTACATATTAAGGCGTTAAGACTAAGAGGGACCTTGATTATGGCATTTCCTCACGATTTAATCTGATATTTCTTATATCTTTTGAAACCTGAACTTAAAATAGGCCTAAGTATATCTTGAATAGAGTATTCGAGAATAACGTTATGAGTGCGTATCAAGAAACATGGTAACATAATATCACAATGAAGTAGAAACCTCTTTGAGGATGAAAGAGATTCCAAAGTGGAATATACTCTGCCACTCAAAATATCAGTTTTGTTATCTTTTAACAAGTGGTGCTTGGGTTGAAGGTGAAGGTGTTTAATCTTTTTCATTATTTTGTCATCACATAGATGAACACAAATAATTATATTCTTTTCCGAGGGACATTAATTCTTTCATCCGTGTTTCGAAAAGACGCACACAAATAAACAAGCGAAACATTATTGCGTTTTTTAATAGTCATTTTTGTTGTACATGTATTCCCTATTTGAGGTAGAGTTGGAAAACCATGGACTCTTTTCCGTATTAATCTAACCATTAATGTGCAAGTACGTAGCACTTACAAGTTGTGCTCGATCAGAAGAAAGGAATACCGAAAAGGGTGATGCTTCCCCATCCCACTTCCCGCTAAGAGCTACACAAATTTGTCCAACGTAAGCAATTTCCTAGCCAAATCAAGTTAGGGCAAAATGTTGCATTACTAAAACAACATGCATGTACCACTTTCTCTGCTTTAAAACCAATGTACTATAAACTATAATAATTCAATTTAAATCCTTCGAAGCAGTTCTCCTTGGATCAAATTGATATATAAAGTATGATCTACATAATTATACATATATAGAAACCTCCGTATTGGGTAATTCATTAGACAGTGTACTGGAATTTAACAGATGATTTAAAAATAAATGTAATCGAGCTTTATAGATTTATCATTAGACAGATCAATTTTAAAACAATAAAAGACGTTCTAATGCACCTGTGGTCGGGAGCTAATTGAAGAAAAAAAAACTGAAGTAGTAAAACCCAATTTACCAAACATTCAAAACTTACACTACCTCATTGACCCACTTATTTAGGATTTGTTTGAATTCATTTTCAAAATTGGATATCAAGGCAACAATTACTTCGATGTATCTTGGGTTCTTCGGCCTGCCCCTCAATGTGAAATATTGATGGTTAAAAAGCGCATAAGCCTACTTCATAATGCTGTTCCTTGTCTTCTATTACTTTATCAATCCCCATGATTCTTTTAAGAATGTAACCCAGGAACGTATGGAGCCAATTGTTTGCAAGAGTGCCACTGCTCTCCACTTAACATCTGTACCAAGGATACAGGAGAATGCATGGATGGGAATGCGTGTCAAGAAGGCTGGACTGGTGTCAACTGTCAAGGTGACATTTTGTTTGTAACAGTCAGTTTTCATAGAAAGGTCGTTTTTATTTGTAATATACATTATTATCACAAAATAAACACATCACGATAAAAGAGCCGAAATCCATTCCGTCCTTCATTATTTCTTGCGCTTGTCAAAGCAAGTGGCAAAAGACAACAAGAACCAGGGGGAAAAGTTTTTTGATTAAACAGATTACTAGTTTAAGCTAATTCATGGCTAGATTTGCAGTTAACTATCATTTGACACGCATTCTCTGTTATTGTCTATTATGCTGAGTTGAACAATGGAATTCGTTTTCCAATCCATGCAGACTTTAATCTCGATCTAAGTTAGTTTTGTCATTGATATAAAACATGAACATAGGTTGGTCAAAGGTCACATATCATTATTAGCAGTTTCTCTTAAATTCAACTATAACCATTCAGTACGTCATTTAGATTTTTATAAAGAACCATCTTATTGTCTTGTGAATTATTATGTATGTTATTGGCAATGCAATCGAAGTGTTCTAGTTGATAGATAGAGATTGTTTTGCACAACAGTACTTGAAAACAAATTATCGCCTCGTTAGGAATGTTGCTAATGGGTTGAATTATTTTGCTTAAATACGATCAAATAGTCTGCTCTCATGTCTTGATATTTAATCGTAACTACACTTGTAGGTGAACCTTTGAGAGCCGGATATTTAGTATTTAGATTAAGATTTCCGCACATCAATTGTTAGACAAACTGGAAGTACTTCTATACTATTCTGAAGTACGTGCTCTCTAGTTAAAAGCTCTATTTTAAAAGCATCACATTTTTAACAGTTATTGTTTTTCCCAAAGTTGTAAATTTTAACCCTGTTTATTAATGTTTTTCCTAACATTCTTTTACAGTTCGACGTTCCCCCATTCAGGAGGTTGACGATGATACACGTAAGCTCACATGGGCTCCTAGTCCACCATAAGAATAAAAGCGTGTTAAGATATAAAGCACAAAACCTCAGCGGTTACAACATATAAATGAACATTTGCGAGCAACAAATAATAATAATAATATTGATAATGATGATAATAATAATAGTAAAAATATCTGGCATTTGTATTGCGCCATCTATCTATAGGACTTCCATTCTGAGGCACAGAAGGAGAAATAGATAAGAATAAGTGTCTAAATAACAGAGGCCCTGCATCTATACTGAGCTCTCTGTTTAAGATTCAGGAATGTGAAGTGTATTACACTTTACGTCATTACAAAAAAAAAACGCTGCACTTTAACACTAAATATCTGAATGAATTGTGTAAAAAATATATATGACACATTACCATCTCTGTTGTGATAAAAAGAAATTGAAACGTTTTTAAAGGGGATCTAAATGGAAACTAAAAATATAACTGCCCTGCGAAATTCCTACTTGCCATTAGAATACCTAGATTTCTATGATTATGTTATATAAACATGTATAAGCCTGTGTGGGTAAGGGGTATGTGCGTGCGTACGTGCGTGAGGCGTACAATCTGATATTTTAACAATGTTTTCTCTTCTCCTCACCTGCATATTCAGCGATTCCTGGTACGAAATCGGCAAGTTCTGGTTTCACTTCTTCAACCATCCCCATTGTTGAAGCTACAACTGAAGCTTCTACTAGTGCTACCACTCCTGCCACCCCTACCATCCCTCCTCAGCCTGTTCCTTCTTACGCCATAGCGAGCTTCAACTACACCAAGGTTAACAATGGCGAACCTATAACATTGGTTTGTGTCGTGACAGGATCGCCTCCACCGACGTCTGAAAACATCAGTGTCACCCATGCAGCCGGTGGAGATGAAGGGGTTGTCCTTCTGGGGACCAATGTCAGCGAATCAACCAGGACATCCCGGTACCAGGTTATCGTGAGTCTGGGTGAGGTACCCCTGAATTTCACTTGTCTTTTGCGCAGACCGGACGGGGATAGTGTCTCGAAAGATCTGGCTGTTTCTGTTTATGGTAAGTAATTCTGAACTATAACAGCATACCTGTTTTTGCTATGATTTACTGACAAGAGCTTAGCGTCCTGAGTACATTCATTGTTAATACGAATGGAATTGAAGATGCTTTGTACATCTCCATGTACGTCACAAACAATGAATACAAATAATAAACACAATTTGTCATTTTTATATTGCCTTTTCTGTCTTTAAATGGTTTCCATGTGACAGGTGGCTATCTCATCAACTCAGCTCTCAATTAACATCAGAAAAAGAGGATCACGGGGACCAACGGTTACCGATTAGGCATTGTTTTCTATATAGAGGGAGCAAGTAGCTACACGTAGTACAGTGGGGCTTTAAATATGTAGTCTTAACATTTTGATGGCTTCATACAAATGTTTTTGAAACTCAATTTACGTTCTATCAGAACCTCCAAGCTTTGTTCAAGCTCACATACTCGTCCAAGAGATGACATCTCACTCGATCACCATACGATGGACACCTTGGAATGAGACATATGATCGTGGTGATGGGCCAGTGATTGGATATCGAGTCTACTACAACACACACGGACAGGATGACACAGCCAGGGCTTCAAGAGATCTCATCAGAGATACAACTTTCACCATTACTAATTTGACACGGGACACAGAGTATGATTTCAGAGTGACTGCTTCGAGAGAGGGCCCAGCGGGTGAGGGGATGTACAGCTCAGCAGAAAGAGCTTGGACAAAGTGTACTGGTAAGAGCAGTAGACTATTATCATAACAACTAATAATGGGTGGATCATCAACATCATTTTGACGGCCGCAGTCAGGATGGAGTATTAACGCTTTCTAACTGAAGATTGAGATTAAGGGAATTTATATCATTTAAAATTGTTGGTTGCTAAAGTAAGTTAAATGAGTTTAATTTATCTGTTGTAATTTTTTTTTTTACCGTTGTTGAAAACAAAAGCACTTAACCAAGCATTTACCTTACAGGTTCCGCCCATTTTTATTCCTCGAGCTGAAGATTTATTAATAATAGCAAATATAGTCACGATATTATCATAATTAATGATAAATCTGATAAAAGTAAGAGTATAGTTAATTATAAATTATGATTGCTTTTCTTCTCCTGACCATTAGGACATAAACAGTGATCATTTGACGTCCCAAAGACGTATATATTGCATTGCATTCTTTAAAAAATTCTATTTTTAAATTTCCCGCTCTCAAATGTGAGGCTGGTAAATATGGACTCACCGTAGTGAATTCACATTGAAAGCAAAATAATTTGTAGACAGTACACTATTCACCTAATGTGAATATTATGTTGTTAGTTGTATTAACCACCAACTCAATTACAACCAAAACAACTTAATAGTCTTCATTTTTTTTGTAATTCCCTTTTCAGCACCTTCTGAGGCGCCTGTTTTGTCTGTGAGAAACAAAGGTCAAACAACCATCACTTTGGATTGGGAGGTGAGCTAAAATGATTTCATTGCATTTCATTTTATTATTATTATCAACTATAAAGGAATACATTTCTGTTTAAATTACTTAAATTCAGTAATTAAAATTTGCTTAAATGAAGAAAAAAAGTGTTTAAATGTTCAGTATGAGCGCTTATAAACGGACCCAAATACCTCAATTTAAAATACACAATTGTACACATTACTAAAAGTCCACTCGAAGTATCATTTCGTACGTTAATTAGTTTGGATAAAGCGTTTCGCATGTTTACTCCTTATTGAACATGTTAGGTTTGACGGTGAATATGGCGAACTTAATATTTGCAAATTAGTAAAATGGGTGAATTCTTCCCGTTTGTCATATTTATATTGATAATAGGTAATAACAGAGGAATCATGGGGATGCAGTGCCCTTTCTGGATTAAAAATCAATGTTAGCACCTATGGTCAAAATGGCTTTCCTCGAACCTTGTCATTCAATACAACGGCGGGTACTGCTAACATTGGAGAGCTTGAGGATTGTTCTACGTATAACATCAACGCAGCGTTTAGAAACAAAGACGAGTTGGGGATCTCTTCAGAAATATTCTCAGTGAGCACGTCTTTGACACGTAAGAATATCTGTTTTCTAATTGTATGTTTAGTGCGTTGAGTTGTACAATATTAACGCTTGGGTTGTATTACATTCACAATACCTTATATCGCTTATCTTGACGGATGAAAGAAAATTTACCATAAAGACTATATCACAACGCTAAGAGTGAAATGTATAGTCATTGAATCAAAGAACACAGGTCTGTCATGCGAGGGAATTTCAGGAGTACATGGTAGCCCAATATGGACTAGATTGCATCATTACTGGTACGTTTACCGGTCTTCAATTTGTTCTTAAATATTCTTTCAGTTTGCAAATTGCAAGTTTAGTTATATTTCACATTTATTTCCAGGACCCGCAGGTGTAGAAGCCTTACTGATGTTACCTTCAACCACACAAATTAAAGTCAGCTGGACACTGTCATCTAGCCTATGCTCCGCTGACTACTATATCGTACGCTACAGTCTCTATCAGAAGCTTGTCTGCTCTTCACCAGAATCCACCCAGAAAGAGTTTGAAGTTAACACCAACGTCACACAATACAATAATCTAGTGGGGTTGGAGCCTTACTCGCGATACAAGATCTCCGTTACAGCTGTGAATGGTGCCGGGCAGAGTGTCCCCACGATTAGCTATTCAAATACCAGGCCTGGAGGTGAATAATGTAACAATTATTAAAATACCCTTTCCCATAACAGTTTAAAGACATGTACAAGTTGATATATTTAGTTATCCGAGTTGTAATTGTAAATATTGGATATTTTTTAGGGAACCAGAGTTGTGATTGGTCCAAAGCTTGTCACGTGATATCGATTGCGAAAATTTTAATCAACATATTTCACTCCCGGTCAGGGGCGGATCTAGCTTTTTGCAAATGGGGGGGGGGGGGGGGGGTTGACGAGCCGGTGATTTTTAATGGCTATTTTGAACAGCTGCGGGGCATCGTCCACGAGTCGCATAGCGGCGAGGCGATTTTGTTTGTTTGTTTTTTTTTTTGAGCCCCCGTAAGTGATGTTTTCCTGGCATCTGCTTACACAATGGAGACCATTAAAAGTCTGGAAATATGATGGCGTCTTTTTTTTTGCTCATCAAATTTTCACTTGGCAGCTTAAGGGGGGGGGGGTTAAACCACCTTACCCCCCGTAGATCCGCCCCTGCCGGTCAGCAAGGAAGCATTTCCCCTCGTTATCACATTTCTCCCTAAGCGCTGTGCGCTTTGTGAACTTATATAATGATAATTACATTTACTTATATAGCACCTAACACTTACTTCATCAGCGCCCTACAATTATGCAGCATAAATACACTGGCTTTAACAGCGCAGCTGTCACACGCTCTGCGTTTCGAGGAATAAATTCCTACCAGGTACCCATTTACTTCACCTGGGCGGAGTGCAGCACAATGTGGATGAATTTCTTGCTAAAGGAAATTAACGTCCAGGGATTCGAACTAAAGCACGACCTTATGATTGAAAGACCACAGTCAGAACCACTACACCATGACGCTTCCCCTAGGGAAAATATAACTCGGTAGTCCAAAATCATTATATTTCACACCCTACTAGTCAATATCTGTATTAGATTCCCTGCATATAACATACGCATTGATATAAAAATATAATTTTTAAGAATTTTGCTCTGTTTAGATTATGAATGGTGCAGTTAAGTTGCCATATATATTCCCTTCACCCTTCACGCTAGCCTTACTACGTAAGCGACTAATACGTCAAGTTTGAACCGACTAGGTACCGACCAACCATCTCTTATATTTCTGATTCACTTTAGCACCGTCCAACATTACAAATGTCAGGGTTAATCCAGAAAGGACGTCTCCAACACGATTAGGATTCACCTGGCAACCTCTCAACTGTAGTAATGTGAATGGAGACTTCTGGTACTACTATCCAAGAATCTACAAGGATGGTGATAGAAGTAGGACACCAGCTGGGAGGGAATACTTGGATGATGACTTTTCATACTCATCAGTAGAGTTCAATGGTCTTGAGACATGCACGATGTATGAACTGTATTTATATGCCTGCAACCATCATGACGTGTCATATCCTTGTGGAAAACTGTCTCATGCTATCGGTGTAACAGGAGTTACTTGTAAGTGTCATAAAGTACGAATAAAAAACATGTTATAACCACCCTTATGATGCCACATTGCCCTGCTTTGTGAACGTACTCTAAATTTATGAATTTCGTTCAAAAACTGCGTAGTTATATCATATTTGTGCCAGATATCCACATTCCTATAGTGATACATTATGTCCATAAACATGTACGACATTACATTTCGAATTCAAGAATCATGTCTTTAAGACATTTAAAGGGAACCAAAACCTTCATACTAAGTTACTTTTATTGTACAGTTTAAGATATTTGAAAAATATCAGTGAAAGTTTGTACAAAATCGGGCAAGGAATAAGGAAGTTAGAGCTTTTTTAAATGACTAGTCACTAGAGGGCGGTATTCAATTTGATGACATCATCTGTGGACAACTCTCCATGCCTTTTGTGCATCAAATTTCATGTTTTTCCTTCTTTCTTGTGATTGAGATAATCTACTCCCCTGAAAGCAAGATATAGAATGCAAAATGATATTCTACTTCACATGTTATGAAGTCGGATCAAGAACACAAATAAATACAAAGAAAACAAAAAAATTGTGAAAATGTTATGTACAAAAGGCATAGAGAGTTGTCCACAGATGATGTCATCAAAATTGAATACCGCCCTCTAGTGACTAGTCATTTCAAAAAGCTCTAACTTCCTTATTCCTTGGCCGATTTTGTTTAAACTTTCACAAATATTTTTCAAATATCTTAAACTTTACAATAAAAGTAACTTAGTATGAAGGTTTTGGTTCCCTTTAAATGTCTTAAAGACATGATTCTTGATTATATTTAGTATAATCACAGTATAGTCAATTCATAATTGGGAACCTGAATTAGCCCGAATGAAATGTTTATTCCTTCCTTTCTGTACACTTATCAGCTCCTGGAATGCCAGTTATTACAGAGCTTACCCCGCATCAGGAAGACAGTGGCACTACTGGTCTAACAGTATCATGGCAACCTCCTTCCTCACCTCCATGCCAGCCTACATACTATGAAATCAAGTACTATATTCTTCAAGGCGATATGTGTGAGGATAACTCGAGGGATCGTATAATGACTTCAGCAGGGACCGTCAATGGTTCAACTTTCACCTTCAATGTCCTGGAGTTGCGTCCCAACTCTGAGTACATGGTGTTCGTGAGAGGCAGAACCAGTAGCGGTTATGGTGATTCGGATTCCCAATCAGCTATTACAGGATATTCATGTTAGTATTGTGTGTTCATGTACGTAGGAGAGGGTGACGGTGTACGTGTGTGGGCGGGTGAGGGTGTGTGTTGTTTATGTGAGTATGAGGGTGTGTGTGGGTGCGCGTGTGTTCCTATGAATCAGCTGTAGGAGAAAACAGAAAGCTGACAATACGGCTAAACCAATTTATGTCTCAATTTCTATTAGGTTAATTCTTTATCTGACTTATTTGAACACAAGGAGAAACATAATCTTGACTGGTAGTGGTACGAATATACTTTGTATAATATAAGACCTAGCAAAATATCATTGGAAAATATTTTATATGAAATAAGTTGGCCTGAAAGTTCAGTTTAGACAAGCAAATCACAATGAATTACAAAACTGTAAACTACGGGGGTTAGAAGACGCTTACGAATAAAAAGAAAAAGATAATGAACTCAGCGAAAATATATTTAGCTGATAGTAAGAAAATGTAGATATTAGATATAAAATTGAAGACTAAAACCAACGAAAGAGAATGAAGTTCCCTCCTTTATTTTACAGATCCTGCCGGTCCTCCAACCAATATTCAGCCAACTATCACCAGGATGCGCAATATTATCTTCACTTGGGAGAAACCAGAATGTGGTTATCGGAATGGACCAATCTCGAGCTACGAAGTTATGTTCTTCAATTCTGCAGGTAACCTAAAGAGAAAAGAGGGAACGAATAAGTGGATAGCTCATATTGCATAATAATATTATGCCATTTTAAAACATTAAATGATTATGCCCTCTGTATTTTTTATTATTACCCATACGCCCATAAAGGTATTTTAGCAGCTTAATAAAAAGTCGTATTTTGCACGCTGCTCCGAATATGAAACAGGAGCGGGCAATATTTGCCATATTGCCCTCTTTCGGGTTTTCCCCTAAGACCACTGTACTAAACCAAAGGGCAATATCCCGCCATATTCCACTCTTTCCTGTCAATGCGCTTTTATTAAAGTGCATACGCGCAGTATTGTGTAGGCGTTAAAGTGTACGCGCGGTAACAATCATTGTTACGTCACAATTACATACCTGACTGATTAACCTGAAATCAGTTGGACCGGCAAACAGACGTAAGTAAAAATCATGTCTGATACTAAAGTTTTATATCATTTGTTAAAAACATGTCTTGTAATAATAATTATATTGACAGGGCTTATTTCAGGGTATATCAGAAATATTGACCGCGCTAAGACGATATTGCCCTCGTCTTCGACTCGGGACAATGTGATCTTAGCTTGGTCAATATTTCTGATATCACTATGAACACGACGAACAAAGAAAGAAGACAAAATATACAGTTCCTCATTCTACCCTCACCCACAACAGGTGAATATGCATTCGTCATGTTCTTAGTGTATACCCCTCAAGCCCAGTCAATATAATATAAATATCTCTAAGGATTTTCTGAACGCAGAATTTTGTGCAATAATGAATTCTGGTCGATGCTGAAGTATTGCTGTAAACTGGAGAGATTATTTGTCAGTGAGGGTAAAAAATAGTAAGAAAAACCATTGTAACCCTCGGGTCTCTCCTCCCGGTAAAACTGATTGGTGGTTTCCCCCTACTCGTATACGAATTTTCAACATACATACCCTGCGTCTATGAAACAGGGGAGGGGCAAGATAACACAGAACGCATTCTCCAGTTATCCACCTGGGTTGGTTCGAACCCACGATCTTTGATTCAACAGGCAGACGCTTTACCGACTGAGCCAACTCGCCTCCTAGTCCAAATTCAAGCATTAATCAAAGGATCACGACCGGCAAAGACAAATAAGATGTAATTGTTGTTATGGTCTTGCATGATGATGATGATTCTTTTGATTTAGTCCATCAACCATACATGCAGAACAATCTGAGCAACATTTTCAAATTAAAGCTAACCATAAATTGTTCCATTCCGCGGAGTCATTCAATTTTGAGCTTTTCTTATGAAAAATATCCCCGAGGAATATCTAGTGTTAAGTTAAAACATGTAGCCTAGCTAAGTCTTCTCGAGCTTCTAGCTTTATACTCTAAAAGAAGAATTTACGCTCAAAGATAAAGTTGAGTTCTGGTCATGTGATTGCATTGTGAAAGAAACGGTGTGGAATCTATCAGAAAAGGTTGATCATCTAGTATATAAGTATTCGTGTGTATTGCAAGGTTCTGGAATCATCAAAATGATAAGAAATTTGGCCAAATCTTGGCAAAGTTACAAGCACTGTACACAGAATGATGTATATGGGACTACACGAGCACATGGCGAAAAAAACCTACCCTCCGATTTTTACGATGTTTCATGTCATATTAGAATATGAAAGCATTTGAAGAGCCACGCTTTTCAGGGAACATGTTTGATCTGATGTTCTTCCATCCTTGCATAATAACAATGATAACGCTCACAAATTATTGTTTACCTCTTCCCAGAACTCAACCTTCTCTTTAATGTCTTGTAAAGGTGTCTAATGAACAAGTCTCCGGACTGGAGAACACAAGGTATGGGGTTTAAATCCCAACATTTGCCACTCTCCACTCAATTGTCAATGGGTACCTGATATGCTTCAGTGCTAGTTACTTTGGCGGCTCGGGTATAAGTATAGTAATAATATGTAGGGTCCATGAGCGTCATTAGGGACTTTTAGATTTGCACGAAGACAATGTGGATTGCTACGATCGACGTCCTTTTAATGCACTGCCTTGAATGAACGTCACACGTATCAGTCCACGCAAATCTAAAAGTCCATATTGTGAGATGGATATGAGCACTTAATAAAAAGCCATTCAGTGTATTCCGATAGCGCGTACTAAGTTAGGACGTACTAAGTTAGTCCACACTTTTATGGAGTGCCTGTTGCAATCCATTTACCCTGTACAGATTATTTTAATCCTGCAATGAAAAGTGTCTAAAAAATTTAAATTGCTATGAAATGGGAAGAAAAAGATAATATGAGTATGAACTGAATTTCAACAAAGTCTTTGGTACATTATCTTTGTCATGAATATTGAAGGAGGAAAATGACACTTAGCATTCCATAGAAGTGTGAACTAAAATTCTTGTTTAGTCTGGACTTAGTCCCGGCTTAACTTATGAGAATACCACCCTATATCATTATCCCTGTTTTTCATTTCCAGGAGACGTGGTTTATCATGGTAATGTGTCAGGACCTCCGCATGAGATCTCTGACCTCATCTCCTATTCGAATTACAGCATTAGTATCAGAGCTTGGAACTATGAACTAGCAGGGGTGTATAGTCTACCGATTTGGGCACAGACAAATGAAGCAAGTAGGTCTCAAAACGCACGTCTTCTAGTTTTGTTAAAGATAAACTTGAGTTCTGGTAATGCGATTGCATTGTTAAAGAAAAGGTGTGGAATGGATCAGAAAAGTTGATCATATAGCATGTAAGTAATGGGGTGTAATGCAAGGTTCTGGAGTCATCAAAATCATCATAAATTTGGCAGAGTCTTGGTAAAGTAACAATCACTTACACAGAAAGATGTATATGGGACAACACATATGGTGTCGGGGCTAGTACTACTCTGATTTCCTTATCTTTCTATGCTCATTACTCAGCCAGTATACATTTTCTTCCAAAATTGTTTGGCACATGACATTTATTTGTAATCTTGAACATTCAGTGTAAGTTTCGTTAGTTTCTGTGAGAATTCATTTTCTTTTTTTTACCAGAACTCAAGTTTATCTTTAACGATGAACAAAATCTATTTGTGTAGTGACGAAAATTATATCTTTTATAAAATACAGTTCGTTGTTAAAGTCTAAATCAATTCTAAAAATAATTTGCTTTTAATAGATGCAAAACAAGAGAAACAGAGCAAAACAAATAAGGTAAAATCGGATAACTACTAAGGAAGTTATGATTTTGTGTTAAGTATGAAAAACAATGGAACTTTATAAAACACTACACAAAATAATTGCCAATTTGGTTATCAGTTTGTGACGTCATTGCCTCACTATTTATCAATTGCCTTATATATTTTTTTCCTATTAATTTCCGTTTTTATCCCCAAAAACTTGATTTCCCAACGCCTTTGCCCAGCTTATATGATTTGTATCATACTGACGTGCATGATATTTCTCAAAATATGTTATGAACTTACTTGTACAATCCCTTAATTTGTTTTGTTGTTAAACTACTTAGGGTAGGTGCAGGGAATCGGAGACCCTTAAGTACATTTTCATAATTTACATAAACATGAAAAATGTTACACATACAAAAAGTTTTGTATTCTCTTCGGTAACTTCTTCTTCAAAATTGTGGGCATGATGTAACTGATTAATAAGATAACAATGCTTAATGACGTCAGCATCAAAGGTCTCTCATTACCTTCATGTGCAGGTGATAAGGGACAGTTACAAATCAAGACATTTTAAATACAATTTGAATGAAAATGGATTGTTATGGTTAGTTCAAACACTTTTTGAAAGAGATATATGCAGCCAATGAACTTATTGTAATTTTGAAACGATTTTAAAACAATGTGGCCCAAAATATTTTTGTACATGGACAATTAACCAACCAGCATCGGGTCATTGACTGTCCTCGGCGTACTCGACATTGACAACAAACGACCCCTATCTCTCTCTTTCTCTCTCTCTCCCTCTTTCCCTCTTTTCAAACTTCTCTTCTTCTTTTTTTCTTTTAACCTTCCCTTTTCTCTCTTCTAGCATGTACTTGTATGGTGATTATTGTTGTCTCGCCGAAATCTGACTCTCTTAATTTTCATTAATGTATTACATGTAATTAGGAATAATATGTTTATTTAATTATGATCATTCCATTCCCTGCTCTCTCTCTCTCTCTCTCTACCTATCTCTCTCTCTCTCTCTCTCTCTCTCGTCCTTTCTCTCTTTGTACCTCCCCTTTTCTCCCATCCTCTCTCTCTCTCTCTACTCCATTCGCTTTATTACTTTCACTTTTATGAGCCATATACTTCCCCCTGCTCTTGTGTATCTTCTGCTAGTACATCCTTTCACGTAATGTACATAAACGAACGCAATATAATTATGCTGTATTGTCATTATGTTACAGATTTATTTACTATGTTTCGTAATACTATTGGACGTGTATACATGTATAATTTACATCACTGTACCTTTGTAAATTGACCTGTTCAGCCTTGTGCTGCTGGTCGATCATTATATACCAATAAATGAATAATAATAATCATAATAAATCTTGGACTTGGTGTCCCCCATTGCCTGCACACATTTCTGATCAGACACCATTCATAATGTGCTGTGCAACACCCATTCACAACATACACTGGCCATCAGTTTTCTGTGATGATTGGCACACTTCATCAACTTCATTTTAAAACTACTTTTTAAAAGCCACCCCTAAATATCTGCATGCACCACAACATTCAGTGAAAATTGTGTTTTTATATCAGAGCAAAATTTTACGATCAAAATTGGTTACCTTGGTGAATTTTGCCAATTTTCTCGGAGAAAGAGCACATTGTAGTCTTCGAAATGAATTGGTAATATGCAGTAGTGTTGTTAAAGGCAACAAATGGCGCTATAGTAATATTGGAGCCAACACGGACAGACAGTGATGGATTCAAGCTTGGTAGTCTCCAATTCCCTGCACCTACCCTACCCTTTTTTCATCCCCGCCCCCATCACAAATAAGAAAATATCATAAAGAGTCTTTGTTTAAATGGATCCGTAATTAAGTGTCTTAGGAAAATCACCCTCTGGACAACCACCCCCGGAAAATTACTCCCAGAAAAATTACCCCCGGAAAATAAGCTCCTTGGACAATTACACCCCGTGACCCCTGAAGATTCCCCTAAGGACAACCCCCTCCCCAAAGGACAACCAAGGACAGCCACCCCCGAAATTACTCCCTTTCCCTGTTTAGGGGAAGTCAACCTTAATTTGGGGGGGGGGGGGGGGCTGGAGGGGAAGGGCAATTTTCCGGGGTATAATTTACCCGGAGGTTATAGTCCTTGGGACGTTATTGTCCCTCTGGTAATTTTCGTGGATTGTCGAAGGGGTAATTTTCCTAGAACCCTAATTAATTTTGTTTTTCCAGTCGTAAGATAAGACGTAAGGGAGCTACCTCGAATTGTAGATTTCCTGCACCCAAAACCCTGTCCAGGGGGGGGGGGGGGTGTACTGGTTTTATGTGTGCGTGTGACAATGTGCGAGTAAAGGAAGATTATGTTATTGCTTCGAAATATTTCGCTTGTTTTAAAATCACAGTCGATCGTATCGTATACATGAGGCGGTGTCACACAGAAAAATCCCGACCCATTTTAAATATACTAGATTTTAGAAATCTAGTTTTTTCATTTACGTCGGTGACAGACTGGTGACAGACAGGCCACGAATAATCCTAATCGGCGCGTGCGCAATGGCCCATCAAAAATCCGGATTTTAGTTATCCGGATTATTCGTAGCCTGTCTGTCACCAGTCTGTCACCGACGTAAATGAAAAAAACTAGATTTCTAGAATCTGGTTTATTCAAGATGGGTCGGTTTTTTTTTTGTGTGACACTAATTTTTCTACGAACTGCCTATACCTGCGTAGTCATTTTCCTTGAATTCATAAATATATAAATATAATGCGCAACCAAAGCATGCAACTACTTGGTGTGGTGTGATCGGAAAGAGCGCTGCGCTTGTACTCAAATCTCCCGGGTTCGAAGTCCGGAGTGGCGGTCTTTTTTTTTTAACTCCTATTTTCTTCTGCTAATATTATAGTAAGGTTGATAATGACAATGACAATTGAAAAAGATTTGTAATGATTGCTGGTGAAACTTCGAGAAAATACAAGTATTTTAGTTGTAGTCTCTGTCGAAGTCGTCACAGCGGATAAATAGTCACAATTCGTAGGTATAAGAAATTCCTTTTGGGTAAATTGCAATGATCATTTGAATTCAAGACATATTTTATTTGTTTGTTTGTATGTATGTTTGTTGTCTTGATTTATGTATTGTATAATGTTTAGTAACGAACATATTTTCAGTTTTTATTATCAAAACAGGGTCACCCTTTATATAAGGATTATGTTTCCTTTCAGGTTGCAACCTATTCAGTATTTTTATATCCTTGTCCAATATGTTCTTAATGTTGATTCTATGTTATATAGCTGATAAGTTATATGAAATGATGTCTGAATGAAGTTAAATGTAAGTATACATTAGTTTCAAATAAATGTAGATGTTATCCCATAACCCCAGAGGGATATCAAATGTTATGTTAGGTGTATGCAAGGAATGACTGCATTGCCCCCAAAACACATGATGATGCATCCTATCACCAAGTGATAAGAAAGCGATCAATAATGTAATATTGAAAATCCTTCCGCCAGATCTAAAACTTAACCTTCCATTCAAATGAAAAAAAATCTATAGTATATACATATGCATATAACATCAAAGCAGTATTTAGAAACAAGGACGAGTTAGGGATGTCTCAGTTCAGAAATATTGTCAGTGAGCACGTCTTTGATACGTACACTTATTGTTTTCGTATTTATATTGCGTTGAGTTGTACAATAATAATGCTTTCGCTGTAATCCATTTAAAATACCTTGTATTCGCTTATTCATTATGGCAAGTTAGTCTGTTTTCTACTCCCTCTTTATCCTTGACAGATCAAATAAAATAAAACAAACAGACTATCACTACGCTAAAAGTGTAATGTTCATCATTTAGTCATTAACTTTTGAGAACACATATCTGTGATGCAAGGAAATTTCGGCAGTACATGATCGTCAAATGTGGTCTAAATTCCATCATTACTCGTATCAGACCTTCATTTTGTTATACCCAAAACACATCTTCAGTTTACATGTATATCTAAAACTTATTTCCAGGACCCGCAAGTGTAGAAGCCCTACAAATGTCACCTTCAACCACACAAATTGAAGTAAGCTGGGAACCGTCATCTAGTCCAAGCTCCGCTGACTACTATATCATACGCTACAGTCTCTATCAGAAGCTTGCCTGCCAATCACCAGAAACCACCCCAACAGAGTTTGAAGTGAACACCAACGTCACACAATACAATAATCTAGTGGGGTTGGAGCCTTACTCGCGATACAAGATCACCGTTACAGCTGTACATGGTGCCGGGCAGAGTGAACCCACGATCGACTATTCAGATACCAGGCCAGGAGGTGAGTAATGAACTAATAAGTAAAATATCCTTTCCCCATAACAGTTTCAAGAAATGTACATGGTGACATTTTTTTTCTTTCCGTCTTGTAATTATGAATATTGAATATAATATACAGAAAAAAGTTGTTATTGGTCCAAAGCTCGACACGTGATATCGATTGCGAGGATCGTAATAAAGATATTTCGTTTCCGGTCATTTAAAATATAACCCATTGGGAAAATATAAATTTCTTCGGTAGTCCAAAAATTTTACATCAAACACCTTATCAGTCAAATCTGTATTAGATTCCTGATTATAACATAAGCATTGATTTTAAAATATAATTTTCAAGGATTTTTCTTTATTCAAATTATGTATTGTACAGTTTGGTTGCGAAGTATATTTTCTTCACCCATCACGCTAGCCTTACTATTTTAGCGAATAACACGTCAAGTTTTAATGGGTTTAGGTACGTTCTCTTATATTTCTGATTCACTTCAGCACCGTCCAACATTACAAATGTCAGGGTTAACCCAGAAAGGACGTCTCCAACAAGAATAGGATTCACCTGGCAACCTCTCAACTGTAGAAATGTCAATGGAGTGTTCTGGTACTACCATGCAAGAATCTACAAGGATGGTTATAGAAGTTATGGAATGGCTGGGAGGGCGTACTTGGATGATGACTTTTCACACTCTTCAGTAGAGTTCAATGGTCTTGTGGCGTGCACCATGTATGAACTGAATATCTATGCCTGCAACCATGATGACGTGTCAAATACTTGTGGAAATCTGTCTCATGCTATCGGTGTAACAGGAGTTACTTGTAAGCAGGCGCGTACACAGGGGGGTAGGTTGGGGTTAAACCCCCCCCCCCCTTTGGTAATTTTATGTGTGTAAACCCCCCTAAAACCCACCTTTTTAAAAAAGAAAATATTTAAAAAAAAGAAAAAAATTATGCCCATGGCTGACCTAAAAAAGGTGACCTAACCCCCCCCCCCCCCCAACGAAAAAATGTCGAATTTCCAAATTACGAGACTAAAAAAAATAAATAAAAATAAAAAAAAGTGTCCTCTTACCGTGTCGTTTTTACGATGTTTACTGATATTTTTTTTGCATTTTACCTGTTTTCTAGGAATGTTCATAAATAATAGTAATAGTACGGGACGGGGATTCTCAACTGAATATGTTAGCCTCTTTTAATTCAATATTTAAATACGCCATGCATTATAATTGTATTGATAATTGTTATAATCAACTGTGGTTCAAATATTGAACCTGTATTGTTTAGGGAGCGTACAGTTATCATAAAAAAGGGTCCAGGTAAAATGATATGAAAATAAAAACGGATAAAAGTTGTTTCTTGTATCACGGTTTGTCCACCGCATTATGATGCTTACGGCGCTCCATTTAATACATAACCAAGCTTTGGGCAGGCTTCCAATGCTTATGCTCACTACAATCAAGGAAACCCTGTCTATCTAATTATTTTAAATTCTCTAACTCTTAAAAAGAATTTATTAAATGTTTACAGAGGTAGAAATATAATTTAGCTTCATCTTTCACTACAGAAAAATATGTTATTCTATGGAGTTGCACGACTTACAGACGGTTCTCTAGCTTATGGTTACTGGATTGTGTAATGTTACCCTTCTAGAATACAAATTGCTCTTCAGAGATTTAATGCATTTCGCAAGATTAACCATTTATACATTTATCTCCATTTGTGTTTGATAAATTTAGTCACAAGTGCATCCGCTTATGCAACCGGGAATCAACTAAGAGTGACGTGGAGTGTTCCGTCTCAATGCAATGTGGATTACTACAAACTATCATATCAGCTCATCTCACGTAAGGCATGTCAAGATGTTCCTGTTATAGATGCTCAGGTCTACGAACTCAACGTCACATCAGTTTCCACAGATGTCACTAAATACATTTCGAACTTGGAATATTACGCCACGTATAGCATCTCCATCATAGCTGTGATAAGGAGAGCAGAGAGTGTACCTATGAATGTTAGTGGAGACACATTGGCTGGAGGTATATAAACAATTATGATATTAAAAACATGTAATAGCGATGGCGTATATACGGTGGCGGCGGGGCAGAGGGGGACGTGCTCCGAACGGCTATTGAAGGGAGCGAAAAATATAAACGCAAAAGAAAGTTGGGGGGACGCAAAAGAGAAAACTAAAACGAATAAATGGAAAAATATATAATTATGCAGAATAAATAGCATTATAATTGATTTTATTATTAAGGTTTTATATGCGAAAGTTTCTAAAGCTTTGACGCTGGCTCATCGAATGTGTTTCTTTAGGATCCTGAATTTTCGCGCCCCACTATAAAAGTTTTGTATACAGTATTCTGTCAATGGTTCAAGACTTAATTAAATGCTTAGCCTTTGCTTGCTCCCTATTTTATAATTATCATCAGCTTCTTGTTATATATAAGACAAAAGACAGATGCAAAACCGTATAAATGGATTTGTAATGGTTCAACAATTGAAAGAAATCTTATTTTTCCGTTTTTGTTTGTTTGCCCCGGGCACCGTAATCAGTAGAAACGCCACAGAACACGAGATTTTGTACTGATTTACATGACAAGCAATTCCACTTAATATAACACGCATAAAGACATTTAATTTGTCTGGGGATACGTCTACCCTGAACAGTTACAAATATAAGGGGAAAAATACGAGCTCACTGCACATGAAGATTAGCTAATAGTAAAACAAAAATAAAGATGAGGTAAAAATTGAAGACTAGAAAAATGATAGGTAGATATAGTTAACTGCTTGCTTAGTAAAGGCTCATGAATGAGGGAATGGTTACGGACATAAAGAAAACGATTACGAAGTCACTGAACATGAAGATTAGCTGGTAGTAAACAAAAATTATATAAATGAGGTAAAAAATGAAAATTAAGAAAAAAAGAATGAGAAGAAACTTTCCCCTTTATTTTACAGGTCCTACTGGTTACCCTACTAATATCCAGTCTACTTCCACCAATAAACGCAGTATTGTGTTTAATTGGGAGACACCAGATTGTGGTAATCGAAATGGACCAATCTCAAGCTACGAAGTTATGCTCTCCAATTCTACAGGTAACGTATTACAACCTAAAGACGGAAGAGGGAATAAAAACCTCATGGACGAGTACTAAAAGAGGTGGAATCCTAAAGCCCCCATACTAGTTCTCACTACGTTCTCGAAAATGATGCCAAACGGGCTCAAATTGTGTGCGAACGGAGTTGAGCGTAATAGCAACTGTTTGCGACCTGTTTAAGGACTTTATGGACAGGCTCGGACTGGACTAAGGTCTCTAATACGATCCTAGTTCGTTCATTAACAGTCCACAATACGTCCAACTCGTCTGTACCCGTCCACAGTCAGTTTCATATCAAGTTCAGATCGGATAAATTTGATATTTCCAAGCAGTCCAAACCATTTTTACTAGTTCGGAACTTGTTCTAACTAGTTTATTACCCCACCACCCCGTTCAGAGACAGTTCAACTCGTCCTCATCTTGTTCTGAGTGCATTCGAACGCGCTTCTATCGTGCTTTGCAATCCCGTCCTGGTTCTAGGGCTATACAAACCCAGCGCGTTCTTCCTCATAGATGCTCGACCACATCACGTGGTAACACGTTCCTAGTAGGATCGAAATATGGCAATTCCGTTCATACTGTAGTACGGCAATTCCGTTCGTAGTACGTCCATCTCGTTTTAAGTACGTTGTCACTCCGTCTAATTGCAGGACGGGGAGAATTCTGAACAGGCTCAAAGTTCTAGACCACTCTTCCCGTCCAAGCCAGTCCGAGCCCGTTCACGAAGTCCTTAAAAAGATCGTAAATAGTTGCTAATATACGTTCACTCCGTTCACACACAGTTTGAGTCCGTTTGGCAACATTTTCCAGAACGTAGTGATAACTAGTTTGGTGTGATGGGGGCTTAAAGATTGCTTGTTTGAAAGAAAAGTAAAAGAGAAGAAAATACTTTCTGCCCTTGGCATCATCCCTGGTGGTACTTCTACCAATCATTTTGTGATCGATATAAATTGTACTCATTTAGTGTGGGAGAATGATGAGGGGTAACTTTATCTATAAATAACGAGGTAAAGCTTTGACAGTATGGAACACGTAGCTGCCTCGCTTGCTGTTGCTGAAAGAAAATATTTTCGAATATATTTATTTGTAAAAAATGAACCTGTTTTTTTTTTTCCTGATGAGATTAATAAATTGAACGGAGAAGTATGCAGCTTATAAAATTAAATAAATAAATATATTTGTATTAATTATAAGTGCTTATCCAATTCATTTTTCATTTTTCATGGGAATGAGCGGATAGGGTCAAAGTACATGTAGAGTACTACTTTTCCATTTATTCTTTATTGTATGTAGGATTTTCTGAACGCAGAATCTCGATGAATGATGAATTCTAGTCGGTACTCAAGTATTGCTGTAAACTAGAGGTTGTAGTTGTCAGTGATGCGTTGATAGAAAAAAGGAAAGACAAAATATTAACTAAAGTTCATACATTGATCACATGATCATGACCGGCAAAGGCAAATAAGATGTAGTGTTTGTTTTGGTCTTGATGATTATTTAGATTTAGTCCATCTATCATACCAAAGAGATAATCTGCGCAATATTTTCAAATTAAAGCTTCCATTTTTCTATTCTGCGGAGTCATACAATGTTGAGCTTTCCTATAATAAAAAAAATGTAGCCTAACATTTATGTACGCTTGATGTGTTTTGTGCAGATGTTGTAGTCTAATGGATAAGTCTCCGGACTGTAGACCACAAGGTGCGGGATTCAAATCCCAACACGCCACCAATAATAATGTACTTTAGCAAGACGTTACATGTGCCACTTTCCACTCAATTGTTAATGGGTACTTGATATGCGTGAGTGCTAGTTACTTTGGCGGCTCGGCTTAAATAGGGTAATAATAGGGACTTTTAGATTTGCAAAACGACAACGTGGATTGCTACGATCGACGTCCTTTTAATGCACTGCCTTGAATGGACGTCACAGGTATCAGTCCACGCAAATCTAAAAGTCCCTAATGTATAAGGGCCATGAGCGTCAGCAGGTGAGTGATGCATATGAGCGCTTTATACGTAGACAATTTTTTATTTTTTTGTTTATTTCCAGGAGACGTGGTTTATCATGGTAATGTGTCAGCTAGCGCAGAACCTGAGCATGAGATATTTGAACTCATACCCTCTTCGAATTACAGCATTAGGATCAGAGCTTGGAACTATGAACTAGCAGGGGAGTATGGTCCAGCGATTTGGGTACAGACAGATTAAACAAGTATGTCTCAACATGCGTTTCTTCTAGTTTTATTGATAACGATGAACTATAAACAATTTGTGCGTAAAGGACGAAAATTACATTTTTTTCTTCAAAAAAAAGAAAGATACGCAGTCAAACGTGTATCCCTAAATCCAGAAATACAACTCCGATATGAAAATTATTTGTGCTCAAAATTGAACATTTAGTTTATATCATCTACAGGAACTAATGATTTGTGAACATGTACTTGTACAATTCTTAATTTGTCTTGTTGTTAAATATTTAACCTGATTTCACCCTCTTCCCCAACGGAAATAACAAGATAATAGAGGAATGATTTTGTTTAAATAAATTGATCCCTAATTAAGTATTTATTTCCAGATTATCAACCCAGAACCCACCAACAACCCACCAACATCGTCGACATCCTTGTCATGTAGTCCAGAGATACCTACGATAATGATGATCAGGGATTTGTCCGAAGCATTATGGGCCATGACCTGCATGGTGGTAATAATGCGGACTGTAATGATGATTAGGCTTGTTGCATTCACATTCACATCGATTGGAGACATTGAACTGGGGCTCACATTGCAATTAATTTTGAGGATTTACTCAAACCCTGGAGTCTCAATCTATAACACATGGATAAATAGCATTCACAATTGGGAGACATTGATAAAAAGGAGTCGGGCTAACTCGGACCGGAAAGGTTTAGGGTTAGAGTTAGGGTTAGAGTTAGGGTTAGGGTAAGGGTAAAATGACCAACAACAACAATTTTTTTTTTTTTTTTTTAATCAGTTTTTGCAGCGCGGACGCGTTGTACCCAGGTCCGAGTAAGCCCTGATCCGATAAAAACTACATACTGGACCCTTTTATGCAGTACATACTCGTACAACTCGAAAGTAACAGGGGTACAGTTTGTGACCAAATAATGCTGACCAAAGAATGAGATGCTTAATGCTCGATATCTAAATATATGATTGATAATATGTGTGCAAATACTTTTGTTGTCTTACCAGGTTTTGATAGAGACCATCGTTTATACCCTGTACATACATGTAAATGTAGAGGAACTTACACAAGTGAGTACTTCCTACACAAGAAATTCAGTATTTCAATGCAGCTTTTTACCTAGGTTGGTCTATTTGCTTAGAAAAACTACATTGTATTGTAGCCGTTGAACACTTCACAGAATATTGACTTAAAGCGGGATTGCATTACTTGTAGCTACACGCGCCCTCTATATAGCAAACAATGCCTAAGCGGTACCCATTAGCCCCCTATGATCCCCTTTTTCTTATATTAATTGAGAGCTGATTTAATGAGATAACAACCTGCCAGTGACCATGCAAGGAGGTCTAATCCATCCTGGCCAAAATAGTCCAGATAGGCTTTAAGTCTGCATGCAAAGTGGTGGCAGCACATTGGCTGTGTGTCAGAACAGTGTCGCGTAAACGGGAGGTCCTGGGTTTAACACCAAGTCGATGTGCAGGTGTCCATGTAGTAAGGCATTAATTCTCATCACCAAGTCCCTCAGAGAGCACTTGAATATGTTTGTATCCTTGTTCCTTAGATACAAGCATACACATGCCTTCTTATCGGTGAAGAAAAACATTTACTCAAATCAAACCAGGGTAATATTTCCTTCTGTGGAGTACTTTTAGTGCAACACTGTGACAACCTCACTTCAGTTATTTATCCAGTAGTATTTATCTCAACCTTCTCAATAATTTATTTTTTCACATTCTATATTGGCTGCGTATAGTTTTAAAACTATTTTCAGTTTGGTTTTCCTTTTTATAATACAACTTATATATTTCATAAAGGAATTTTTTTGCAAAAACACTTTTTGATAAAATCTTTTGTGTTCTGTGGTTGTATGATTATTGTTGGTGTTATTTTTTAAACTTTCTTTTTAACTTTAATAACCTGTGTTTACAATGAACTGACATTGTTACATTTAGAGAAGAATGGTCTGTTTGGAGCAGAAAGGGAATTGATGCTGTATTGTATTGTATTGTATTATTTATTAGGCACTTTCAAGAAATATAACATTAAAACAATATAATCATGGTAAATACAAAATTGGAATGACAAAAACTGTGCAAATACAAATTTTTGTAGCAATATTCAGAGTGCAAAAGATGGCGGCCAGGGAAGAAGAGAGCAAACTTAATTACTGTAACCGTAAAGGTCCCTCCTCCCAACCAACTGATGCACTCAGAAGACTGGTAAAAATATAGCATAAGGACAACCTGTATAACCTGTATAACCTGTATAAACTGTATAACCTGTATAACCTGTATAACCTGTATAACCTGGTATGAGTTAATTCCTTTCGGGCTCCAAACAGACAGAAAATTTGATGTTTATACCAGATTTGTGAACATTTTCATTTATTTTCCACTAGACCTTCTCATTCTGAATGGAAATAAGTTTCACTTTCAATATGATAAATATTTGTTTTCATTAAGATTTTATTTCTACATTAACTGCATATGAAAAGAATGTACAAAGTAACAAAACATATAAATATATTCGATAAATAGGTGGTATTAAACAATAAAAACGATGTTATGCATATTTGTTTGTTTGTTTGTTTGATTGATTTTATTTCTGCGTTCAAAAATATACAAATTCAAAGTCAAAGTACAAAATTTCGAACAATAACAAATACAATGAATACAATGTTTACAAAAGTAATTAAATCAAAAATCATGTTCAATTATATCAGTCGATAAACATGTACGAAGCATACAATAACATAAGAAATATGAAATATTTTCAATAAATTAGAGAGGTAATTTGGAACGCAGGAGACCACCATCGTGAGCGGTTAGGCTGGAGATGGATGGCGGCCTCGTATCATTAAATACATTAAATACAAAGGATGCTTACTTAATCTACAATAATGAGGGGAAAACCTTGAAAGCATTATGCTTGTGAATAAGGTTCCCTACAGTATACGTTTGTTACATATCATGGAATCAACAGCAATACAAAACGAAATATTTACCAATATGCTCAGAAGTGCTCAGATGTGCCCTGCTTCAAGTGTATGTCGCCCTCACTTAGCATGCATAAAAACAGAACGAAGTGACTGAGAGAGAGAGGTAACAGGCCTATAACATGTATTGTTACGGACAATGCCTCACCTACTCTTTTACATCTGTAGTGATACTATTATACAAATGTTGACTGCTTTAAAGGGGCATGGTTCCCGTATTCCAGAGGGCGCTCAAAATACGTACGCGCTGGCGGACGGCGCTATTGCTGCCTATTGACACGAACAGAATACGGCTCTTACGCAGATGGCATGTTCCGATAACTACACTGGCGGGAACTTGCCCCTTTAAGGGGCACCGTTAAAATTACATCCCAGTGTGATCTAGAAGCTGTACTGTACACAGAGAAGAAGTTGAATGGTATATAGTGTTGGCTTGAGATCACCGAGGAGTTATAGTTTTAACTGTGACCCGACAATTCAGCAGCCACTAATTGTTTTTTATGCATCCGACTTTTTGATTCCCAAAAAGGAGAATTTTCCACTAGACCTTCTCATTCTGAATGGAAATAAGTTTCACTTTCAATATGATATATATTTGTTTTCATTAAGGTTTTATTTCTACATAAACTGCATATGAAAAGAATGTACAAAGTAACAAAACATATAAATATATTCGACAAAGAGAAAACCTTGGAAGCATTATGCTTGTGAATAAGGTTCCCTTTACATTATACGTTTATTATATATCATGGAATCAACAGCAATACAAAACGAAATATTTACCAATATGCTCAGAAGTGCTCTCAAGTGCCCATCTATAAGTGTATGTCGCCCTCATTTAGCATGCTAAAAAAACAGAACGCAGCCACTAACTGTTTTTTATGCATCCGACTTTTTTATTCCCAAAAAGGAGAATTTTGACAAAATATCCTATTAAAAATGTATGGAAATTGCACATAAATACTGCGTGCATCTATTGTTATCTTTAGGCGCATCAAGGCATTCTTACATTGTACATGCCAGTGGAACTATGCCTCGTCAATATTTTGTGTTTAAATACCTCTCTTTAGAAATCTAGCCATCTGATTGGTCGGAATTGGAGTCGTGCATGCCCGCCTACCAGTCACTAATTTTTGTTAAATGCCCGCATGCCCCAGTTAACGGGCCGCATGATTAAATTCTGCAAAGACCCCCTTTGGTTTACGTGTATAACGTTTCTTTGTGCGAGCGCGGATACCATACAGTGTGTGTGCGATTCCCGAATGATCGTAACATTCAGGCAAATTTCCAGCGAAGATTAACAGACAGTGTCTCAGATTTTCTGTGATTTTTTAACCAATCTTTTCTAAAGAAAAGAATAAGGCAAGAATTATTTGTAGATTTTTTTGTGAAATCAGTTCATAAAAGAAATATGGACTACTTCAATATTCGAGGCATAGCTGTTTCTGTACCGGCTCTCGGGGACGTTGCATCCTGCCGTGATCCCTCGGCGCGCCGCCCACCGCTCCGCGTCTCGGGGTCATGGCAGGATCCCCCCCCCCCCACGCCGGGGTCGAAGGGACCACATTCAAGTTCCCAGTTCCCGAAATCTCAGGGTATTTTTCACGCAACAATATTACGTAATACGTAATACACGTAATACACCAAAAAATCGGACCGTATTGACTTTACACACCAGCGATAGTGGAGCTTTTAAAGGGAGGAATATGCAGACGCGTACCATAAATAACATTGAGTGGGGGGGGGAGGCGGGGCAAGATGCAATGTCCCCTTGTCCCTGTAGAAACAGCTTTGCATCTCATAGCAGTCAATATATCTATACAATGCTGCATAGTAGCCGGAACTGATTTCTCATGCCTACAACTGTGACTAATTAGAGGTCCATAAATATACATGCAATGGCTAAGCCAGCATTGATTTTATGCTAGGAAAAAAGTTTCTGAAATGATTCTTAGAGTTACAACACTTAATCTACTTCTGCTGTTGTGTTTTGTATTGCTTTCCAAATGTTAATAAGTTGAATGAAAAAAACAATTTATTTTTATTTTTTAAAGCGTACAAATGATGAAAGAATGCTGCCCTTTCGTGCTACGTTATGTCATGCGAGTAATATTGTACCTACACAGAAATGAATGATAATGAGAAAGTATTAGCTGAGAAAGAGAGAGAGAGGAAGAGAGTATATAAAGAGAGAGAATGGTGGTTCATAGGGAGAGAGAGAGAGTGAGAGGACGAGAAAAAGAGAAAGAGCCGATAAAAAGAGAGAGAACTGGTCCAGATAGAGAGAGAGAGAGAGAGAGAAAGAAAGAGGGAGAAAGGAATATGATAAAAATGTTATTAACAATGATGATAAAATTAATATAATGATAATATGAAATAATAATACAAAATAATAATAATAATATATTTCCGAATTGTACGCAATCGTACATTATCAATTATTGTAAATTCATTTACTTTCTTATATTATTCCACGATGTAAAAACGCTATATATCCGTGTTTCCATCTGACTACGCCATTGTAAATTTACTACTTAGATTATCTATTTGTGTATTATATTTTCTATTGTATTTTGTTTATGTGCTCTATGTAATACCGACAAACTGGATTTCCAAATGGACCAATAAAATTAATCTGAATGAATCTGAATCTGAATCTGATTGAATCTGAATGAAAGAGAGTATAGAAAGAGAAGTGTGGTGCATAGGGAGAGTGAGAGGACGAGAAAGAGA